TACTGGTTAAACCACTACAAAAGTTTTTAGGTTTTTTTAACTGCTTTATATTGTGAAGTTCATACTATCTAGTTGTGTTTAAAATTATCAAACCACATTCAAAATTTACATAATATAATCTAAACTATCTTACATTGTACAAGGACATCATTCTAGTTTTGTAACGATTAATTTAATAAATTTTCATATACTGCCTAAATTAATGAACTAACCATTTTGAATCTCTATTCTCTAGAGAAACGGAAACAACAAAGGTTATAAACCTCTTTGACCATCATCCTATGCTAGTGAACTATGCAACTATGCATTAAAACCAAGTTTTCATATTTTTTAATTTTTTCTCAAAATTTGTGGATTTAACATCTACACAAATATTAAGTTTGTCGTTAAATGTTCTATATACCGAAGCATATACTCTTTAGTGTTGTTTGAATTTTTACAAACATATTCTATATTTTTATTAATGTATGCTAATCTTTTTTTCATTGTACACAAACAGGGTTTTAATTATTTAAAAAAAAATTGTGGGTTAACCCCAAACGAAAATATTTAGTTTTTCGATAAATGCTTTCTATGCCGAGACTTGTACTCTTTATTGATATTTAAAAATCCCAAAACATATTTTATTACTTGTATTAATGTATGTTAAACACTCATTCATGATAAATGTACATTGTTCTAATTGTTTAAGAATTAATTTAGTAAAACTCCGTATACTACCTACATAAATGGATTAAGCACTAAAAATTTAATTGTTTAAGAATTAATTTAGTAAAACTCCATATACTACTTACATCAATGGATTAAGCACTAAACATATATATTATCTAGAGAAACGGAGACAATAGAGTTTCTAAGTCTCTTTGATCATCATCATATGTAACTGAATGATGCAACTAAGAATTAAAATCAGTTTTTCATATTTTTGAATTTTTCTCAGAATCTGTAAATTAACCCCTTCGAAAACATTTAGTTTTTTTTAATGCTTCATATGGTGAAGTACTATCTAGTATTGTATAAAATTATCAAACCACATTCTACATTTACATTAATAGAATCTAAACTATTTTATGTTGTATATGGACATCACTCTAGTTTTGTTAACTATTAATTTAATAAAATTTCATATATTGCCTAAATTAGTGGACTAACAATTATGAATCTATATCTATTATCTAGACTCTATTGTAATTAATAATTCTATTTAATGAAAATGTGTTCATTGCCAAAGACGGTTAATTATAAAAGCATTATAATGATCATTATTTTTGCTTAGTCGAAACCACTAGGTCCATGGAACATCTTTAACTTTAAGAAGATACATCGAACTAAAATTGTTTTCCGGATTAGTTGGTAGTGACAAGAGGATCTACGTTGCTATCTGATCCATCGTAAATCACGCACTCCCACGATCATGAACCATACCAACTTCTAGACTTTGTCAACCTCGATGTTCAATTTCCTATAAACTACGGTCGACCTTTTTGAATACAACTCTCACGTGCACATGAAATGGAAGTTTACGGCGCCCATTCTTCTAGAAAACAAATAAAATTCAGAAGTTAGAATTACGTAGCACTTAATTATAAATTAAAAGTACACTAACGTCAGGAAAATATAAAACAATAATTGGCGTCGGCAGGGCACGAGTGCGTTGTTTGGTTACGCGTGACAAACGAGTCAGGGACCGAGTACACCGGCCACGGTCACCGTCAAATGATACCAAACAAGTGGGTTCCATAGTCACGTTGAGTGTTTGTTCATATCACGACCTTCCATTGCGTTTCTTTTGTTGACCTCTTCTTGCATTGTGAATTGTGTGTAGTGTGAACGAGAAACTAGTTCCTTTATTAAAATCACGGGTCTGCGAAGTGAAATGAACTTTGACTGATTTTTTTTTTTTTTTGAGAAATAGTAGTTATAAGGGCTTATTGGCGAAGTAGCCAAATTTGAGACATAAATTAAGTATCTAACACTGATGTTGACATAATTCATTTTCTGACATTTAGCTTGCTTTTCCTCCGGTTTTACCCCTTCCACCAACAGGTATCCGGTTCTGCTACAAAATAAATGACGTGGTGGTTTTCTGTAGGATAATTAAATCACGAAACTTATGAAGCGCATAAGGAAACAATTTACCTATTTCTGTTCCATTCTACCTAGGTCATCCATTCCATTCCGTTTTTCTATTCATCTATTCCATTCCGTTTTTCTAGAGAAATATAAACCACAATCAATAAACATAGGTTAAGGAAATACAAATCCCATAAATTGTCATTTAAAATGTTATGGACGCTAATCACTAAACAAAAAATAGGAAAATATAAACCCCAATCCATTATGCTTTTTAAGTTGGATTACTACATACGGTATTAGGAGGTGGGTTAAGAAAGTAACCATCTACATTGAGGATGGACGCTAATCACTAAACAAAAGTTAGGAAAATATAAACCCCAATCCATTAGCTAGATCTTGAAATAGTTGTTAATCTTTTTCTTTTGTTTACCCCACTAAACAAAAGGTAGAGAAATATAAACCACAATCAATAAACATAAGTTAGGGAAATATACACCCCATAAATTGTCATTTAAAATGTTATGGACGCTAATCACTAAACAAAAATTAGGAAAATACAAATCCCAATCCATTATGCTTTTTAAGTTGGATTTACTACATACAGTATTAGGAGGTGGGTTAGGAAAGTAACCATCTACATTGAGGATAGACGCTAATCACTAAATAAAAGTTAAGAAAATATGAACCTCAATCCATTAGCTAAATCTTGAAATAGTTGTTAATCATTTTCTTTTGTTTACCCACTAAACAAAAGTAAAGAAATATAAACCACAATCAATAAACATAAGTTAGAGAAATATAAACCCCATAAATTGTCATTAAAAATGTTATGGACGCTAATCACTAAACAAAAATTAGGAAAATATAAACCCCAATCCATTGGCGATTAACCCCTTTTGTTTACACCTCTAAACAAAAGGTAGGAAAATATAAAACACATATATACACGAATACAAAACTTGTATCAAGAGAATATGAAATAACAATAAACAAGATTGAACCCTCTAATGTATTCTTGATCACTCCAATTCAACGGAGGTTGATATAGTTGTTAATCCTTCTTTCCAGTGGGTTCAAAACATGTCTCAAACAATCTATTTGGAAAGCAAATCGTCCATGCTAAACCTGCATAACAAAGTAAGAGGGAAACATGGTTATGATAGAATAATTCATTATATTTTATATAGAAAATAACCTTTTATATTTCAAACAATATGATTGTTGATAAAGAATTTTAGCGCATACATTATAGATCATACAATTCCATCTCAAGTAGAATAGTTGGTTAAACTATTCCATCACAAATAGAATATTCTTTACTAAACTTGAAAAACAAAGTAAGAGGAAAACATGGTTATAATAGAGTAATTCATTCTATTTTATATAGAAAAGAACTTTTTATATTTCAAACATTACAATGGTGAAGAACGGTAGTGTATTCAATACATATCATGCAACTTTATCTCAAATAGAATAGTTTATCAATCGACTCTATCTCAAATAGAATAGTTTGAACATATAATATTTTCTATTCTATTTCAAATAGAATATGCATAAAAGATCTCACGCAGACAAGTTGTATTGCAGCTGCTATTCAATACAACAAACAAAATTGGCCATAATGCAATGCTATTCCACACAGTAAATTAAATTAGTATACTGGGTAATTCATATATCGAAGAAAACACAATTATAATGTACGAGACACAACGAGTAAACCATAAACCATAAACCATACTATTCAAATGGAAGAGAAAACACAATAAAATGGAAGCGCATCCAAGCCAAATAGAATAGAAAGTGAATTTTCACAGACAAAGGGACGGTGAAGAGAATCTACGGAAAACATACAAAGGGACGGTGGGAGTTTCAGAGATCTAATTCCCATAACAAAGTATAAATAAAATTGACAATAAGACATGAAGAGAAGAAACTAGAGAACTTACCGTCTGTCAATCGATCGGAGATGATTGGATTTTCATAAGTCTCCTTGAACACTGGTTGTCAAACGCCGCTGCTGCGGAGTATACACCGTCGACTCTGTGCCGGTTAAAAAAACCTGAGAACTTACTCTAGATGTAGAGATCTGAAAAGGCGGAGGGAAGGCGGAGGGAAGGATTTGGAGTGAACGGTCAAATTTATCGGTTTACTCGACGGGTTGAAGGTGGAGGGAAGGATTTGCTCAATTGAAGTACCAGAGTATATGGGGAAGGTGATTACGACGACGGAGAATACAAAATTCACAGAGAAGAAGACGGTTTGAAGGGGTTAAGTTGAGGTGTTGTTGGAGACTTTTTGCTTTCTCCGAAGTTAGTGGGATATGTGGAAAAAAATGGTGGAGATGGATAAGACACGATTTACAGTGGGAAACCAAGAGAATAAAAAAAAAATTGTTTCGGTGAAACCGGTTGAATTCAGGGGCAATACAGTATTAATATAGAAAAGAAACGGCGTGAGTGTGTCTGTGAGGGTTTTTGGCTAGTAGCCCAATTATGTTTTTTTCTCTTGCTATATGGCCTAATTTCCCTAGTTATAATGTATTAATATTGGTAATTTATTGTTAACTTTGACTGAAAATTCACACGTAAAGCATCTGAAAATGGTATATTTCACTTTTCAAAAATATTTTTACTTTTCATACATAAAGTTGATCAAGTAAAAAGATTAGATATCACAATAAATCAAAATTAACTATAAGAATTTGATGAAAACGAAGTTGTTTATTGACAAAGTATATTTCCTTTCTATGCAAACATTTTAGACAGTATCAGAATAATGATAAATAATGTTCAGATTATATCAGAATAATTAACAATCATATTCTTCAGTTTGACTGAAAAAACAACAATCGTTCTTAATTATATCGTGTTAAATTATTCAGGAACCAATCATTTTAGTTTATTGACGTAAAAATAAAATTATAAGTGGGTCCTTTCCACGTCAAAGCTATGTGTGTTTCTCCGAAAGCCTCATCACTACAGCGAAACCTTAATGAACTTTCTTTGTTTATACCTATTATTACCGACGTTGAAACATACGTGGAAACAACACACACGTAGGTGCCCACGTGCGCGTGCTTGTGTGTATATATATAACATAACACGTACATAGACCTCTCAAAGTGTGAGAAGAAGAAGAAAAAAAAAGATGGACTGCAGAAAACACAAGCACCAAGGCAACAGAGGAGTATGCCCTTCTTGTCTAAGAGACAAACTCTCTCGTTTACCTAATACAACGACGTCGTACTACGTCATAAACCGATCTGATTCCTCATCCACAACCGTTTCCTCTTCTCCGTCTTCACCGGTTAAGGAACTCCACCGTAGAGCTGGTTCCATGTCTATGTCGTTCGCTGTGAGGGAAGCGTTGAGTGGTCAACTTGTTGAAGGATTAAAGAAAAGCAGATCTATGGCTCATGCTACGAGAGATTCTTATATCGTTAGGTCATCCAAGAAGACGTCGACGGAGAAGCTAAAAGCCACGACGGTGAAGAAGACTGGATTCTGGAAGAAGTTGCTTCATCTCAAAGGAAAGGGTGGTGGCGTCAACGTCGGAGGAGGATTGGTTACGTCACGGCAAAGAGTGTATTAAATTATCAAATTTAGTTTGTTTTTTTTTTATTGAATTTTCAGTTTGACATGTACAGCTACAGATTGAAATAAGTAAAATAATGATAGTTACGTTACGTACGTAAGATGTACTTAAACGCTATGAAGTTTCCTGGGATTTGACCAACGAATCCGCGTTTTTTGATCATATCTTCAAGTTTTATTCTTTTACTTTTCTTCGCAAGCCACATATGACTCATCTAACGTGTCATTTTTCATTTTCCTTTATTGGTTGACAAGTATGAAACCCATGTGTAACAAATGCTTAATGTGAAAGTATATGAGAAGTTTAAAGAAAAACATATAAGATGTGATAGGTTGGACTGTAGGAGTTATAATTAACTTTAATTTGTAACTATAATATTAAATTAACAATTATGCTTTATATTGATTTTTAATTTACAGTCACCTTACTTTTCTGAAAATAGTATATTGTAAGCTGTATAAAAATGTACTTTTTATTTAAATTTCAAAGCTACAACAGATACAACTAAATAAAAAGTAATTATATATAAAATTCTACAAAAATCTTTTCACAGTTACACTCCCACTAAACATCACCATAATATAGTTTACAAATCACATTTAATTCGAGAAAAATTATCACTCTAGGGCAGTTTTATGTTTTAAATGTCATAAAAAGGCAGTTCTTGCTACATACACACTTTCTCTTAACTATCTTCCCTCCCTCTCGTTATCCTAAACAACATAGTTACCAATCAATTAACTACAGATTTGGTTTAAGCGGGAAAAAGCCTCAACCCTTGATCTGTATCCTATCCAACGCCTCATATTAATCCTCACCATTGATGATTAGACAGATATCTGTCTCTATTATAGACCATTGGATTAGATGCCCTTTTTTTCAACGGTCCCGATTTTATGTGTTTCATAAACACTTCTTCCCATCTCCTTTTCCAATTTCCTACGGATCTTCTTGTCAATCTTCACCAGCTCCGATTAACAAGAACAAAACAAAGGTTTGTCATCACCGTAACCTAAGCTCTCGTTTCCATAGAAACGTCTTCTTTCTCCTTCGTTCCTCAATTTTAGCTTATCTTTAATTTTTACTAAAAATTCTCGATATGCCGTGTTGTGTCTCATTTTATATTTTCTCGCCATGTTTCATCATCGCTGTGACGTTCCTACCTCTCCTAGCACTCTGAAACTGGCACAACAAGTTTAAGACCAACAATGGTTAATTTGGACATTTTTACATATTTGGTCCTTAAACTTATTTGTTATTTATTTTGTAACCCCAATACTTTTAAATGTGAAAATTAGTCATTGATTTCATTCCAGAAATTTCAGATGCTATATTTTAACCCTTTGTAGTAGGAATACATCTATAAAAATACAATAAAACAACTAAAGACACCTAAAATTTCGATAAAATATATCTCAAACATGTACATATTTCATTGAGCACATGATGTACACATGGATATAACTCATATAAGCGTACATGTGGATAATGCAATGTGTGTACACGTTGATATATTTTATCATATTTATGTGTTTTAACAATTTAAACCACGATTATGAGGAATGTACTTTATATTATCTGAGTTGTACATGTGTACATCGACTTTTTAATGTACATGTGTACATCAACTTCATAATGTACATATATATACATTAATTTCAACATGTATCTTAACGTCATTAATTTCAAAATGTATATTTTTGAACTACGTCTACCTTACTTAGTTTCATGTGGACAACTATATTAGAGTGTATATGTGTATAAGATATATCAGAATGTACAATCTTCTTCTTGATGAACTATTTTGATATATTTTTAAAAATATGTATATCTTACATGATGTATCTATCATAGTGTACATGTGTACACTATCATCAAAGTGTACATGTGTACACTATGTAATCAAATATGTATACTAATACTCAATAGTACACCATTTTACTTGTATATGGTACACAAGCTGAGTGATAGGTACATTAGAACACTCACACAACACTTAAACCCAACATTAGAACACTCACACAACACTTAAACCCAACACTCGTACACTCGCTCCAACACAGCCTTAATGTACACATCTACACATGTACACACACTCAAAAAAACAATGTACACATGTACATTAAACTTCCATGTACATTAGAACACTCATATAACACTCAAACCCAACACTTGTACACTCGACCCAACACAACCTTAATGTACACATCTAAACATGTACACACAGACCAAAAAAAAATGTACACATTGAATCATGGTCATGTTCGTTAAAAAATCTCATTGTCCACATGTACACGCTCACCCCGAACATCCCCACCTCATACACAAATGTACACATCTCCTACACTACAATCGTTATGTACACATGACCTCAATAACATCTACCACCCCGTACACAAATTCATTTACGTATGTCCACCTTTTTTTCTAATTAACTGTCAAATCAAACCATGCATGCTTTTGTCCACTTGTACACCTATTATTTATGAAACTACCTAAAATCAGTTTCGCTCGCTAATGTACACATGAACAATATACGTAACGAATACAAATAGCATTACATTATCATCCATTTCCATAGCGGTTCATTGGCACCAAAAAAAAAAATGCAACAACACAGAAGTCATCTTCAAGGTCCACATGCCTTTACATAACTAAGTTTACCAGACAAAAAAAAAATTGATTCTAGGTCCACAGACCTTTCCAAATAAATTTCACCACAACAAAAGCCTACCGCTACTTCGTTTCCACCGCCGTCGACTCTGCCATCACTGGATCAAATGAAAACAAAAACCATATTTTAGAAAATACTACTACAACGAAAGACATTATAATCTAGAAAAAACTAGTTACCATCGTCGATCTCTTTCCCACGCTTGCCTCTCCTCGTAGACATCGCTTTTTTGATCTCGACACCGAACGATATCACCGGAAAAAGTCCTAGAAAAATTTCCCCCTTATAATCGCCTTGGTAAACGTAATAGAGCAAAAGAGAGAAATGGAGAAGAAGATGAAAAGTCTAATTCTTTCTTTTAAGTAATCGGCGCCTTCACTTCAAGGGGGGCCCAACTTGATTTTCGAATTTTGAAATAGAAACTAGACAAAAAAAGCCAAACCAGAAAAGGGAAGCGGTTGTGTTTAGTTGAGGGTAACTTAGGTCTTTTCACTCAAAAACTACCCCATGCACAACAACTGCCTTTTTTTGATAAAAAAACTCATTAACTGCCCTAGAGTGATAAAAACTCTTAATTCGATGTGCATCTTATCATCGAATGAAGAAATGAAAACAAAATGCAAAATGTAGGATTCCAAGACTCCTTTGATCTGGAGCTTTTGGAGTTAAGTGCAGAGGTTCAATTTCTAGTATATTTTTACACCGTGACATGACAGTGATAAAGTTTTGTAAAAACGAGTTCGAGAGTTAAACTCGAGTTCAGTACGTTGTCGTTGTTGTTGTTCCAAGACATGGTAAAGGCCTTTTAACAATCATTCGTTTTAAAAGAATATCTCAAAAGTTGCTAATGAAAGCAACCAACAAATAATAACGACTCTGGATAGTAGAAACATACCACCCAGAATCTTTAAACTATGCTTTAAGATCATTTACATATGGTTCCTTATAGTATTCATTTAAAGGTTGAGGATTATTAACGTTTATAAAACATGAATCTAATAATTTCACTAGGCAGTAGATAGGTAAGATATTTATTACACTCTTTTATTAATATTATATTATTTGGGCTGAATTTTGAAATCTTGATACTCTACAAATTAGCTAACAGTAAAAAGTCACCAGCTGGAGAGTTACCGCTGGAGCAAAGAATAAAAAAAGAGTTTAAGTTTGTGACCGTTGTAACTTTTAAGTCCAGTCCCTGCGTTGATGCGCCTCACAACGTAGTTTACTTATACATATTCATAGTAAATATACATAGTTATACTGATCTGAGTAAAGATCTGCATGAGTTTCAAAGTTTCTTTGAGACTTTGTTATGAGTAGAAAACATTGTTCCTTCTCCATGAGGTTACTCAGATCTTTGAAACTAAGTTTATTGTATTCTCCAATGTACGTAGTAAATATACATAGTTTACTTATAGTATTCATTTAAAAGGTTGAGGAGTATTTTTACTTTTATAAAACATGAATCTAATAATTTCACTAGGCAGTAGATAGGTAAGATACATATTTTCTTATATTTATTATACACATTTATTAATATTATATTATTCGGGCTGGATTTTGAAATCTTGATACTCTACAAATTAACTTTTACAGTAAAAAGTCAACAGCTAGAGAGTTACCGTTGGAGCAAAGAACAAAAAAAAATTTAAAAAAAAAAAGAGAGTTAAGTTTGTGACCGTTGTAAGTAAGTTCAGTCCCTGTCTTAATGTCTCGCCTTTAAATATAGAGAACCTCTTACAGAAAACTATTAGTCTCCTCTTTCTCTCTTAGTTACCTCTCGACGATGATTATTGTCTCACAAGAGCAACCTCATGGCTCTAAGCTAAGCTACGTCCTTAAGGTGCTTGCCTTGCCTTGATGTTCCGTTCACCTGCCTTATCAGGTGATATCCTTATTACACAAGCCTGTTCTTGTTTCTGTTAAGCATGTTTTTTTTTTCTTTGGTTTTAAGGGGAAATTTTATAAAAAACATGATTAGATCGTGAGGAAACTTGTGTGTAAATTTGTGAGATAACATTTTGAGCAGAATATGTCCCCTACTGTTGTTGACGAGTCCGTTAGAGTTAGTATGTTTATTTGTTTCTAACACTTATGATATCACTAAGCCTACTCCAAATCGGTCTTGTGATTTACAACTTGATCTGATCGTGAGGAAACTTGTATGTGTACATTTGTGATGGACATTTGAGCAGATATCCTGTCTCATGAGATGGTTAGATGTAAAAGTATGTTTCATTTGTTTTGAACACTTATGATCACTGAGCCTACTCCAAATCAGTCTTGCAATTATAAAATTTCCCCTGTTTTTTTTTTTTTCGTTTTTGTTTTTGGTTAATTTAGTTTGCATGTTGGCCTATTGTTTGTTCCATCTACTTGTCGTTTTTGTTGTTTCAGATTCTGTGGCGGATGGCTCCCGATGATGGCTTTTTTGGGGTGGATCTATCTTCTCATGCGTGTTTCTATTGATCAGGTCTCTTATCTTTTACCAAGTCTTAATTTCTTTATTACACAAACCTGTTTGATTTTAATGTATGCTCATTTGGTTTAACACTTGTGATCACTAAGCCATTAATAAAATTTTCTCGTCGGTTCTGTTTTTTCTTGCGTAGTTGTATTTATTTTTTTGGTTTTCAAGATGGCCTTTTTGTTTGTTCCATTTCCATATGATCACATCTATATCTACTTGTGGTTTTGTTGTTTCAGATTCTGTGGTGGATGATGGGATGTTGCGGCTTGTTTTGGGTTTGATCTTTCTTTGTTGGTGGCTTATGTCCTGTTGATCGTTTTTAGAGTATAACTCTCCCAGGCTCCTTGTATTTATTCAAGTGCCAAAACACAACTCTTGTCATGTTATTTTTGTCTTGCTCTATCATGATAAGTTTCATTGATGTATTGTCTGTCTCACCATTGTTTTTGAATTCAAGATTTCCTACTAATAGAGTGTTCTTCTAAGTGGTATTATTGATTTCAAAAGACTCAGACAAATCTCATTCATCATTCTCTCTCTCTCGCATGTTCTTTGCCATAAAGGAAAAGTAAAGTTGACGAACCAAAAAAAATGCAAAGAGAATAAGCTCAGGCTTCTTGTCTAACTGAAAGGGCGTTCTTATAAAAAACAACATATATAACACATGATTTTTGAATATATTTACAACTTTTTCAATACATGGTTTTCAAATTTTATGATTCCCGCAGAATTAGAAAAAATAAGTATCAGCAGCAACCCCCATTTTATTATTATGAATAATCCTCTGTTTTACAAAATGCACTCGTCTTCATTCTTGTTGTTTTTGTAATACAAAAACTCAAATCTAAGTTGGTTCACGATGTCTAGTTGCCCAACTCGAGCTCAAGGCTCTAAGCCGTTGAAAATACTCACCAAGTGCCAACAATCCACGAGCCGCTTGTCTTGTAGTCAAGATCCTATGCATTTGTTGCAACGTCTCGTGTCTCAAATGATCAGCCTAAGAAACATTACAAACACATCAAAAAAACCGTTACTACTTTCTTAAAATGTGTGTTTGATTATAAAAACTAGTATCGTCTTTTACCTGATTAACAAAGCTGACCGAAGCTTCTGCTCTCTCCATTGCAGAATTCACCTGAGGAACGTAATTTCCTTCACCTAGTCGTCCACCAGCAACACAATCCGCAAGGTTGTGTTGTAGCTTCTCCATACCTTGAGACAAAGCGTCTTCAGCTTGCTGACAAGATTGTCTTAGGTTGCATACATCTAGAATCTGTTGATCCGTCATCACATCAAAATGTGGTAAAAGAACCTTCAAAACAAAGATTCAAGAACATTTTATTAGGTACAACATCCCACATCCGAAGTTAGAATTTTTTTTTAATTTCATATAATGCGATGGACCACTCCACTTATCACTAATAGATTTAGTTTGGTATCCTATCTAAACTTAACATATTTAGTTTCTTATTTTCTTTACCTTGATAAGATCCGAGGGTCGAAACCCGCCAATCCATAGGAAAAAACGTTCTGCAGAAGTTCTCCACATCCCTGACATGATGAAGAAAACATCTTCTTTTGCAGCTGCTGATTTCATCCGGAAAAGATCAAAGTAATGTTTCATGGCGTTTTCAACTAGCAAACGAAGCTCCACATCTCCCACATGTCCTTGCAAAACCATTCTTAGCTCGCTTATCTGTTTGTTCTGCTCTTCAATCCATTGTCCATACTCCATCTCAAAAGTAGCAATCCCTGTTTTAATCTTGACGTTCAAGTTTTGATTCTTGTCAAGAATACTACACTGTTCTTGATACAGACCTGAGTTCATGTTGTCCGAGAAACCGAGAGAAGTAGTAGTACTAGTATCTATACCATTCCCAACGTAGAATCCCTGATATCATCCAACTTTCTATCAGAATTTGCTATATAGTTTTTGAAGTTGAAAGAAATAAAAATAAATAAATTAATGACTAAGAGGTTCCTGCTAGAATAACTCTCACTTGGAGAGTATAAATCATTCTCAATATAGGAATTAAAATAAATAAATTTTGATTTATGAACCTGTTGTCTAGCACGATCGAGTTCTTGCTCTAACTGTATTAGCTTCAACCTGCTTGTTTCTAGCTGCTGAACATAAGCCTGAAAACAAACAGAAAAAAGAAAGAATCATTATCATAATATTCTTTCTAAGAAAGTAAAAAAAAAAATGTCATGAGCTTTTCATACCTTCTTGCGCAAGCGACTTTTCTTTGCAGCCTCACGGTTTTGCGCAAGACGTCTCTTTATCTGTAACAATATTAAGATTCAGCATAAATGCAGACAGGGAAATAAAACTGATAGAAGCATTATTAGTTACCTTATCAGGATGTCTTGACGTGGAAGTTTCTTGATCAAATATGATTGGAGTTCCATGGGAAGTATCCTCTGACTATAGAAAAAAAAAAGATTTCAAGAAAAGAAAGGTTTCAGATTTTTTTTTTAAAACAAGAACGGTTGTCATTAATGGATTGAAGAAAAAATGAAGCAAAAAGGTACCAAGTTGTTGTCTAGTTTCTGATTATTTGTAGGTATTATAATGTGGCTTGTGGTGTTGAGATTCCCATTGCCAATATTGCTCTTGAAAGTATCTCCCCACATACCAAATTGATGGAGAGGCTCGTATGTATTAACTCTTCTCGGTGGCACACAATGTGTTGATGTTGTATTCATGCTTCTCTGCAAGTTGAGAAGATGCAATGTTTATAAAGAATGTGTGATAGCATATAAACAAAACCTAGTTTAGGTCTCAATTAAAAGTTAGATCACACAGAGTCAAACACAATAGCAAGCAAAGAAATAGTAAAAGTATAGGTGATGCTTCTTCATAAAAACTATTTCAATCCTCAAGAAAAGAATAGGAGAAATAACAAAATCACCTTTATATTCCAGAGGTTTGTTTATACATATGCAAAGAGAGTAATTTGAGAGGGCATGAAGATTATTCCCTAAGAACTTGGAGTAGAGCAAAAGATAACAAGTGAAATATATGTTGTAATGACAGCTAAAAGAACATAAAGGTTATAAACTTGAAGTAACGTTCCTATCACTCGATTTTCATCCTCCTATAGTCACTGACATCCACTGATAAAAACAAAACATTGAAACTTGCCTACCAAAAAAAAAATACCACTATTCTCAATAGTGTTTGGAGGATGCTAATAGATAAAATCATAAGAGCAGAATAAACGCTTCAGAAGTCAAGTTTCCACTTATTGAGAATGCACTTTATTTTAGCATCCTTAACGGTGGACCCACTTCACAACAAGGTTAACAGTTAAACACACATTAAAAATAACAGAGAAATTTTCCGTCCATTGGTTGGTTATATACACTTATACGCAACCATAGAAGAAAGATTGAGAAAAAAAGAGATATCATCACAAAAGCAAATACCAATCATGAAGTCAAACACACACATATAATCTAGAAGTAGAGATAGATAAAAAAAAACTTTTATACAATTATGAAAACAATATTCGAATCAGTACCAGCTTCAATTCCAAGCAACCCACAAAAACATATAGAAGTGATTCATCGAGTTTTCAAGAGACAAAAGGGGAGTTAAAACTAATCAAAACAACTAATAAGATAGCAAAAATGGTGTTAGATGTTAAGTGCTAGCAAGATTAGAGAATGAAACAGATTAAAGTCAACGCCGTGAAGTTTCTGACTTTCCACTTCTTGTTCTTTTTCCCTCTACCTCGCTTACACTACGGAGAAAACAAAATATATAGATCGAAGAAGAACAGAGATCTAAAGCCGAACCTCTTGATGGTTACTCGCGTCAAGGTGGGGACTCGAAGAAGGCCAACTTTTGTCGGGAAAACCATGAAAGAAGGAAGAGTTTTAGCGACAAGAACGGACGTAAAGCCCACAAGTTCGGAGTTCGAATCCGACCGTAAACAGAAGGGGTTTTAAAAGCTCTTCTTTCTTTTTCTGTCTCAGAAACTCAGGTCTCATCATCTTGAAGAAGTAAAAGAAGAGGAATCATGCGAGAACACGACAACTTTAATGAGACTTTTGACGTTGTTAATTAAATATTTCCCACGTCACAATATAAATTAACAATACTACAATATGTAATAAATCAACAATACACACATTATGTAGCTTATTATCCAATAATGCAGCGATGTTAAGTCAATACCAATTATTACATGTTTATATATTTTCCTCTACTTTTAATTGATAAAAAGATTATAACATTTTAACACGAATATTTTTGTTTGAATTAGCAGCGGATTAATATGTATGATTCGAATCTTAATCTTCGTTAAATATGTAATTAAATTTTAAAAAATTTATTCGTTTTTTATTCAGTTGTCATGATGTCTCCACTACCTCTCGCTGATGTGCGCACCAGGTAGATCCATTTTTTTATTCTCTTTTAATTCTCCTTTTCAGAGTTTTTCTTCAAAATTTTATCCATTTTTCTATACAATTTTGGTTAGCTGTTACATGAAATACTGTATCATACTATAATATTAATTAACGCCTTAGAGCAAATAAGCGAACGACAAGCACGACTTCTTCGAAACAATCAACGCTTATTTTAATGTTCAGCTTATGAAAATTTTATCAATGTTTTTTTTTTCTTTTTCCGAATCAACTGCATTTAGCAGCTAACCGAATTTGTATTAATTAGTCGAATGTACTAGTTAGCATTGTGATGTAAAGATGATAAGATTTATTTATATTTTCTTGTTAGTAATAGTCAAAAATCACAACGGTAGAATACGAGTATAATTTATTTTAAAACTTGGTTATACCCTTTGGGAGGCTAGACAGGCTAGATTGGTAGAATTAATTAGGTGAAGGAATCACCTAATAAATATTGCAACTTGAATTGATGAATTAAAACATATTGGCTCTTCAAGCACCATAGGAGACATTATGTATTTTTTATCTATGACTAAAAAGCATTGCTGGTTGTAGTCTTGTAGACATAACTAATAAAAAGTTAACATGTCTTCGTTGATTCCCACAGTTAGCTTTTAGACTATATAACCCTATCATCACTTATTGATTGTATCTACCTTAGCAGTGTTTCTTTTAGAAAAAAAATTGTATCTAACTTAGAGCATATTTAACGCGGTATACAGGCCGGCCTATAGGAGAAGTAAAGTAATCAATTGTTTAGGATCCAAATTGTTGTCAGTTTTGTTTCTTAAATAAAAGAATCCAAAATTTTTAAGACTTTTTTTACTTAAAACAAAAGGACCCAAAATTTTTAATTTATGTAGGGTCTATGATAAGTTTGAGCCGACCATGACAGTATATTAACATGTTAATGAGTGGATTTCATGCTTTTGCTAAAAACGGGTTTCATAAGTCAGCAAGAACCGTTTCGGTCCGTTTCTTACAATATTTTGTGACCCCACAACATGTGGCGGTTTGCGATTCGTTTCGTTTTTTATTTTTTAAATCAGATAAATAAAAATAAAAATTAATCATGCTCTTAGCAGTTAGAACTTAGATCAAGCGTGAAATTAATTTATTACTAGAAGAAAGCATATGGCATTCAGGGTAACGATCAATACATGACGTGAGATGTTTCATGGACATGCATATACATAGAGAGAAAATATAATTACCACAAATTAGGTACAATAAAGCGAGAAATATTTAAAAAAAAATTATAACAGATGCATGATCTAATATATTGGATTGTCTAGTAGGAAGAAACTAACAACAACAGGATAAGTTTAATAAATAAATAACATTTTAAAATAATTCGTCCAAATGATTTGTGCGTAAAGCTACACTTCAATTCATATGATGGTGCCCTTAAGCCGTATGATCCATTGTGAACGATAGATATTGGTGAATTTTCATTCCACACTCTATCCACGTATTAATATACAACAATATTTATTCAAATTGATCAAAACATAAGTATTATAAAAACGAGAAGATTAGAAAAAGAGATGTCACGCAAAAACACTAAGCGTTTGCCTGGTTATAGAATTATTCTCCAAGTGCTATCTTATAAAGTGGTTTGCCACCACGAGTGGCTAGCTCGTGTTTAGATTTTCAATCTTTTTTATTCATATTTTTGGCATAAACGAGGATAATCCCATCCTTGTATATAAGTAATTATACGAATTGCAAATAATTTTGTTTGCTATGATAATAAAAAAATCAATGGTTTTAGGCTTTTAGCTAGCAATAATGATAACTTTTCGTGAATATAATACATGAACAAAATACAATTTTAACGACGACAAAAAGTAGCTAAATAAGCTGTTAAATTATTAGACGTTTGAGAAGAATTAATCATTGATCTGGACCTTCAAACAACTTCTCAATAAATAAGAACTATTGGTCCATTTGTCACTTGATGGTTTATCATCTACAAACCTCAATATTGGTCGACTTACTCAGTTATTAATGTATATAATTACAACCAATATATTGATACATTATTAGTTTTGTACTGACAAGAACATGACTGAATCTTTGATCTGTAAATCGAAATCTTGCTTTCGCGTACCGTATAATTTAATTAAAAATCAGTGATACAGTGAGTTGATAGAGTTGGATTAATGGAATGGCACGTGCATGCGCCTAGAGAAGATGCAAACTTTAACAATGGGATGACTAATGAAAAATTATAATCTGAAATCAATACTAATTTTTAAATTTAATAATGGATGTTAGAGCCGTTTATAGAACTTAGGAGTAAAGCAACATTTGAACCCATCGTTTGACCATATCTGAGTTATTTTATCAGTATAATTTCTTCTTTCATTTGTGCTCATGCAGATGCATGTAGTGTTGTTTGAGAAGACGTTTTCGGTCATTTGTTTGCGTCATACGACTTTATATAAATTAGAATTAATTTCCCAGGACCCTATTAATCCATTGCATAAAGTAAATGTTATTTTTTGGAAGAATGCATAAAGTAAATACTGCGACGGTCAATAGGCTCATAGCATTGTACTGGAAAGCTAATAAAAACAAATCATGTTAACTAACACACACTTTTATAGATCTGATTCTTTGTTTAAAGAAGTCGAGTGCTTTAAGAATTATTTGAGAAGAAAATTCTCGATAAAGATATGAAAGATTAGCCAGGAAATTAGTGTGCTAATTATTTAGTATAGCAGGGGATCTATACCCCTACGAGGCTCGTATAAGACTTATAGGGTTGAAGAAGTAGAGGGTGAGACAGCCGGAGGATTCAAGGAGTTTGATTGGTGGAAGACTTTTCCCGGGAAGATGATTGGTTGAAGGCAAATCTCAGTTAGCTCTTGCCATCACACATGGCTTCTTCTCAGCTTGATACATACCAGTCTACCACTATAATCTCTGCTTTGTGTTTTACGTTCGCTTTGACCGTTATATGAATTAACCAAATGTAATTTTCAGTTAATTTAGTTAAAAATGTAAAAATGTATCCTAACCATGTTTACCTATTTACAACTTGCAGCTACATAAATTGAAAGTTTTGTATTAGATTTAACAAGCCATGAAAAAATAATAATATTTGTGTCTCGACCATTGATAATGATCACACGAATATTCGTATTAGGCCTTAAAATCATCAGATGGGCTTATTTCGTAGTAGGGCGACGGGATCTACCATTCAGACCCACAAAATAATAGTGTACTTTAATTTAAGAGAAACAAAAACATATTTCGAAGAAGTCATCCTAATCAAGTTCTGATTTCACACACACAAAGGCCATTGACATCCCCAATAAGAAGTTTTAAAACAAATAATTAAAAGAATAATATTTTTTAGTGATGCAAACATAATGAACACTAACACATACACTGGACATGATCAGCTGTAGTTTGGTTTCATGGGAGACAAATCAATTTCAATCCCACCAACCAACTAGAGTAACACTAAAACCCAATGTTCAAAAATATTGCTAAGTGGCAATTAGGTGCTTTGTAAAAAACTAATGATTATATGAATGTATATATCAAATTTTTGAACGTCTAAACCAAAATTTTAATTTATTTTAAAAAAAATATTTTCGCTCAGGTCCGATTTAATGCCTACACTGTTTTCAGACATCGTTAAAACCTAAACATAGGAAACGTGGCAATACATTGTCGTAGTCTTTTGTTAACCCTGACTTTTCAAACATGTTTGTCTAGTATTTGGTTAAAATTTGACTTTTACACGTTCAATATTAGTTTTGTTTCTGATCGAAAAGTTGTATATGTGAATATATCTTCTTGAATATCATTTACTGAGCTTTTGTGAATTGAGTAGTACTTAACAAACCTTGGAATTTTGTGGTTGACTATACCAAACTCTATCCAAATATTTTGTAGTCGCATTTTTTTTTCTTTGTAAGTGTAGTCGCATATCTTTCAAGAACATTTTAGATATATATGGATCGTCGTTTATACATGTGTGTGAACGTTACTTGATTAGCTGTGATGTTCGCATGGTCCAATAATTGGATATTTGCATAAATAAAAAGGATTAAAAACAAGTTGTAACAAAATAAATAAAATTTTGCTGCATATGCTATTTCAGTTAACATTTCAAGCATTACAATATAAGTTTATTACTATTTTTTGGTTAACCAATGACCAATATTTTTGATACTCTATTACTATATAGTTAATCGCGGTGTCTAATCATATGATATAGCGTCAGAGTTGACATTTACCCTACTTTACGGACATGATGATTGTCCAATTTTACATGAATTCGACACTAATGTCCCCTTGATTCACCAAATTCGTAAACTGTAACCTTACTAACCGAGATTGTTGATTTAAAACGTTATTATAGGATTCAAATCCTACGTAAAGTCTGATTATTAGTGGCAGGCCATACCATATATGCTCGTGTATATATAACAATATGATCGGTGGTAATGCCTAAAAAGGTTTGTACCTTTTCAAAATTACGAGATCAGTAAAGAGAAAAAATAGTGGGTGGGAGTAGCTACTGCTGAAAAGGCATGTCGTGTCGTGCCTATGAGAAACGCATTATACACTCTACAACTTTCTTTTTCTTTCTCGACCAGTGGATCTTGCATATCTAATTATCTATATTAATCTCAATATAGTTTTTTTTAAACTGATTTTAATCTCAATATAGTTTCAAGTTTTAATAATATTCAGAGTTTTTTTTTTGAATCATATTCGTATCAATAACTATTTTCTATAGTTTCTTAATTAGCAGGGTAATAATTTTGTGGATGTAAAATAAATACGGATATAAAACAAATCTGTTAAATTTATGATTGTGTGTACAACTGATACCCTTCGTCTGAGAAAATACAGCTCTAGATTTTTTGTCCAAAAAATAGAGCTCTATATATTTTATTAGTTATAACTTATAACTATTTTCTTGCATGACGTCATTACAGACTGAGTATAGATAGATTCATGTTGATAGTTACATATGCATATTCTATAAATATGTGACAATCAAGTGATCAACGTGTAAGCATCATTGCAACAGCAAACCTACTTTTGTTTTTCTTTATATTCTCTGTCCAATATATTTTTTTGCCCCAAAATCTTCTAAAAATCCTTTGCTAATCATTTGGATTTCAATCTCCAGAAGGAGATGTAAATAGTTTTATTTTTACAAAAATCCATGTTTTGATCAATCATTAAATTTGTATATAGCAACAAAAGGGGTAAAAGTCTTTTCTGAGTTGCTTACTTTACTAATCTTTCTAACAAGCTTTTGTGTAAATATAATAGTAGTAGAAAAAGGCAGAGATATTTTGAAATAATGAGACTAAAACTTAGCCATTGGTCTCCAAGTACAAGAGAGAATAGAAGATCAATCAAAGGGATTCTTGTAAGAAAATATGAAAGATTTATTATGCCTACTTTCCCCCGAAACGATATTAGTTTCACGCGTCTCAGTGGAGAAAGTGCAAATCTAGCTGACATCTTTACTTTTCACTGAAAAAATGACCAGTATTTTTGGCGGGAAAATGGATATTGATCTGTGGTCTCTGGGTGTTCAAAAAAAAAAGATCTGTGATCTCTGTTCTCATCATGATGATGGAGCTATTCGTGATACAGAGAATTATTATCAAGATAAGTTATATTATATCAACGAAAATAATTTGTTGATATCATACAGAAAATATTATTCATGAATAAACTCTAGCTATTTGTTTAAGAAAAACATGAAAGAATTTAGAAGAAGAAGCTGACATCATAACAAGTAATCTGTTTCTGTGTGATTGAAGGGAATTTGCTTACAAACGTGAAATCGCCCAACAGATGTAACCATCAAAATTTAGTTGATGATAATTAATTAATTATGATAAGAAATTATGGGACATATCTGACGTACTGAATGACGAGTGTTTACATGTCGAATTCTTATGAGACGACGAGAATTTAGATTATAATACAAAGTTGAAAGAAAAAAGATGAAGTGGTAATTCATGTGAGTTTCAAATAAAAATGAGATGATGAATATAGGATAAGCGGCGGCTAACGATTCCCTAGATCTCGCCACCAATTACTCTATCTCCACTTATTATATCTAGGCAAATAAACTAATAATGCAAAGTGAAACTAAAACAAAAAATAATTTAGGGTTCATTCATACACAACCCTAATAATCATGAGAGCTAACCACTTTATAGTATGTTAGTTGGGTCCATTGTGATGTACTCCGTATGTTGCTCTTAGCCTCTTAGGCAAATGCTTCTTTAAAAAATTGGTAACTGTCCCTTAGCTATTGAGATTTCAAACTATCACGAGGCCATTGAAATTTCAACGTACATATATCTCGAGCTAATATAACATTAAAAGGAAAAAACATTGTTCCAATATATAGAAAGACATTTGTAATCAAACTATATAAGCTTTAGAACGTAAGAGATTCCAAAATCTTCCCATACACTAATTAACTAATGTTCTATTCATCAGATGTTTTCCTCTAAGATTTTCTATTCCTTTTAAATATAAATATAATAATAAATACGATCATTATTAAACAAAGTTAGATTAAAATATATATTTTAGAAAAGATTAAAATATAATTAATCTGAAGAAGAGGCCCATGATAAGTCAACCTTACCTTCATTTCTCACCACTTCTAAATTATTCTCCGTTCCAGAAGCAACCGGTGTTGTGTAAACATCGGATCTTTGCACCATGTCTAATCCATGCATAGTATTTAGGGTTTGCTGCGTCATCGGTGACGACGAAGAGGCCATAACGTTGTGAAGCCCCTCAAAGTTTGTTCCCACGTCCACGTGTCCAACGCCATTACTTGTTCTCGAGCTCAACGATTGATCCCTTAAAGGGTTTGCGATGTTTTGCGTGTTCATGTTAAGGAGAAGACTCTGGTGATAGTTTGTAGGAGGGTTTAGGTAAAGATGACTCGTTGATGATGGTGGGATAAGTTTGTGAGGAAAGGGTTTCAAGGGCCGTGAGGGTAAAGAAGAAGAAGAAGAACCAAAGAGGTCAAATCTTGATCTTGGAAAAGAAGATGATGATGATAATCCTGTGAAAGGAGTGGAGGGGTTACCAGTGAATTCTTGAACCATGGCTCTGAAGTTTGAAGTGTCGGTGGTCAAAACAGTCGTAGGCGCTCGTCTCGAGACTCTAGATCTCTTCTTTGGATTCCGTGTTGTGGCCAGACAGGTTTTCTTGTCGGTAGGGACAGAATATATGGGACTACTTGTGTTTTTGTTTGAGACTACTCCAAGATTTTCTTGAAGTGGGTTTGTGAAGAAGGCTGGTTCTGAAGAGATCGGTGGTGGTGGTGGTGGTATAGAGCCATCAGTGGACTTTGTAGTCGTTGTTGACCAGAGAGGATTTTCTGTTGACCAACCAGTGTTGAAATAGTTAGCTATGAGAGAGTCAAGATGTGTTTGACTGGTGATGTTGGAGGAGACGGTGGTTGAGTTGTGGTTGTTGAATAAAGCAGATATTGATTGATCAGCGCGTGAGGCGTACTCTTCTTGGTCTTCTCCTCCACCACCACCGCTTGAGGATTGCATGCTACTACTGTTGCCTGAATCCATGGCAGAGATAGAAAGATAGATGATGGCTTAAGAGAGAGAGAGAGAGAGGAGAATGAAGGAGAGGGTTATGATTATTGATTTTTTTGGTATGCAGAGAAACTTCAAGAAGAGGAAGAGAGTGTGAATGGAATTGGTGGTTGTGTGGGAGAGAAAAGCCAATAAAAAGTGGACAGATTTTTATTTTTTTATTTAACCTTTTTTGACCTTTTTCTTTACTTGAAACTTGAAACTTGAAACATTGAAACGTGGAATTAGGGTTAATTACGTTTTGGTGTATAAAAAATTGACTCAAAAAGAGAGAGAGACAGGGTGATCGAATTATGTTGTTTGATCGTTCACAAGAGTGGTTCATGGTAGATACACATGCTCACCTACTGAAATTTAACAAGAATTTTACTGCATATAATCGAATTAGCATTTTAAACTAATTAACACTTCTATTTTAACCGTCTTAAGTTCATTGGCATCAACTTGTTTAAACGGTTTATAACAAAATATTTGTTTACGCAACATCATCTATAATTATATAGCTTTGTGCCACTAATATTTACTATGTAGGTGCTGTTTATAAGACAATTCTCACACCAAAATACCATAGCAACTTTTATATACAACTTTTGCCAAAAAGTTTTAGATACAACTTGTTTAAAAGGGGGTGTTTATGTTTTTTAAAATAAATAAAAATATATTTCCTTAAAGGTGATTGGCCTAGATTACACGAACTTGTAAATGTAAGTACTTGCATGAATACATTTTTTATAAAGTATTGAGATCTAATTCAAAATATATCATTGTTTTTACCAATGAGTGCTTTGAAGTGTGGTTTCTAAATGTGAATGGAATAAGAGAATGGTAGACGGGATCTACTAACATTGACCTATGGGAGGAACAACTTATACATGGTTTTACAATTTATTAATTAAGTTTTTAAAATCATTAAATGATAAAAGTGTTAATGCTCTTTAAATTAAAGGTAAAGGGTTGTTAGTCTATCTGAAAATGAAACAACAAGCAATAAACATTTCTCTTTTCTTCTTTTTCATATATCCTTTATATAATAATATCTTATAAGAAAATTTCCCAAGATTTAACTATTTAATTTTATTATTTAATAGAATTTATTTGTATTTTTCTGTCTATTAGAAGTATACTGTATCTGTGTTTTCTAAAATGGAATTTTAATGAAAGGCTTATATTCAACAGTCGGCATCAATGTGTACTATATGTACGAGATGCGTAATTACATGTGATTAATAGAGATACATCAGAAGACACAAGTTGTCAAATAGAGCACATCAGTTGACCGGGTTCATGATGGGTGATACCAAATTAAATTTAGAAAATGAACAATGTGTTCCTGATTGAATAGTTAGAGTGTGCTTTTCTTCTATCTATATATACTTAGAGCATGTGCAATGGGAAATCCTTAGGAGAGTCCTTAGGAAAAAAATAAAAAGGGTATTTCAGATTATATAAGGATATTTCAGATTTTTTCTTTAAAAAAAAATAAACTGACCACTCACGTACCGCCACGTGTGCAGTGGAGCCCATGAATAGTGTAAAGATTGATTCTTACATAAGGATTTTTAGGATAAAATCCTTAACTATTCATGGGACCCAGTAATTATAAAATTAATATTTTTCTAAGGACTCCCACTAAGGATTCCCCATTGCACATGGTCTTATAATGTATCTTATGGTTGCAATTCATCAAAGGAATAATATTCCAAGTGCATCCTTACTCTTAAATCTTACAAAAACACAACATAACCAGCAGCTTTGATTTAATTTGTTATTATGTTATGTGTTCTCTTATATAATAAATTAAATAAGTTTTAAACCTTATTCGTTTCACTAAAATCAAAATGTATTAAGTCATTAAAAATGTCAACTATTTTATTTAAAGTATATCACATGAAAGTTTGTATGGTTTTACAAAATACACTTATAATAAAAGAAGAAACATATAAATGGAACTCATATATTAACTGATCATAACATTTGGTATAATAGCTATTGTACCGTACTATTTGAAATCAAATTCGCATAATACATATCTATAAAAACTCAAATTGCTTTTTGTTCAAACATTTTTCCATAAAAAACTGTAAATAAGTATTTTGTTTGGACGTATAAGTAGCTTTTTAAATTTCCCTTTTCAAGCGAATGTCTAAGCTGTTACCCATAGTTAAAAAATAATTATATTTTCAAACAAAAATTTATTCCCTCCACTTATAAGAATACCTTTGTTTTGTCCGTTAGATTTTGTTGGTTTCCTCACTGGATTGATTCTTTGAAATCTAATCATTCGCCGAGCACCAACACATGATATCATAACATCTATATACATTTACAGAACAATAAGTACACCAAGATCATACAATATCTATTATACTACGCTTTTCTTGATATGATTTATTTTATGGGAGTCGCGACTGCAAGCTATTTAAATGGCAAACTACATTGAGTCGCGTAATAAGAAGAATTAGAGTTTGATAATGTTTTTGTTTGGTTTTTAGTGAGTAAATATTTGATTTATATAAATGATGGTATATATTTTCAACACTTACTTGTATTAAATCATTGTTTAATATGATATTTATAAATATAATCATTTTATAGTTTATATTGAATAATGTTTTGAACTGTCAACTATATCCCTCACATTTCTTCTATCATACATACATTGTGTTGGAATTATATTAAGCTATTATTTATGTGAAATATTAGTTAAACAATATATTGACAGATAAATTTATATTTTATTTTGTATTATATAAATTAATATTTTATAGTTTAAATGAATATGATTTCATATTTATGAAAATAAAGTTGTTTAATACATTAATTTAGTAAATGTAAGGGAACAATTCACACATATTTTATTGTAATTATATATGGTTTTCAAAAATTATATAATTGTTCTAATATTTTTGTCTTTATAAATAATAAATATTTAAATTAAAAAATATTAAAAATGAGACACATTATTTACATAATATTTGTATTATGATATAGATAAAAACTTCTAATTAATACGAATAACTGAAAAATATATGTTTGAGATTATGTGGTGAATTGATTATCTCTATTTTATGAATATTCTGTAAACGTATTTGATTATCTTCTAAAAATGTGTAATTTGTTTAAATATAATTTTAGTAAGTTAAAATAATAGATATTAGTAATTTTTTTGATAATATATTAAATTGCTAGTGAGTTATCAAATTATTGAATTTGTTAAATAGTGAATTACGTAGAATGACAAAAAGACAATTAATGATGAAATATAAAAGTTGTTTTTATTTTAGTAACAAAAACAGTAATAAAACATATGAAAATTGGTATGTATCGATTATTCCGGTAAAAATATGTAAGTTATGTTTTATAAGATTGATACTGAACATTCAATAAATTAAGAAAGGTGCATTTAATTGGTCAAAGGTGGTTTTATTCCAGACCAAGAGACATGATATGAGAAGCTCAAGATCCAATGCAATTGACAAAATGTGGTTTCCAGACAAAACAATTGTGCCATTCATTGATAAAAATGTGTGTACATAAATGAGATTGTGGTGATGATGTACTTAGCTTTTGAAACATAGAATAAAACCTTCCATTTTACTTAGATTTAGATGAGTATCAAACATAGACCAACACTATTGCTAACAATTCCTAAAGAGACAGAAGTTGCCAGGATAAGCAGGTTTATCACTAACACAGATGCAATAATCAAATTAATGACAGCAGAGGTTACAATACATACACGAGTTCCTTTAGATATAGAGAAGGTTAGAGAGCCTTACAACATTGAAACCAGTACTTTTAAAAAACAATAGTACCTAAGTGTTGTTGTGTTGAGGTGTTTTCATCGCCCTCTCCAGATCAATCTTGCAATTTTCTCTAAGCTCTTTCATAGCTACAAAGCTATCCTGCTGCAGATTATAAATAACAATGCACATCAAACACACAGAAGCTCTGTTTTGTTCTAAAAATCTAGTATAAGCTCTGGAAAAACTTACAAGGTGTCTGCCTTCACGAGCCAAGATCCCATCCATGTTAAGAAAGAGAGATGTCCATTGACCCATGACATCAAATTCTACATCCGTTGGCTCTCCTTCATTACCATTCCTTCGGATCAAGTTACTAGTTTCTTTCTGGCTCTTCTTCAGCACTGCAGACAAACACAAGTTCATGTAACCAACCATAACGGAATTTACCATCATCAATCAAGAGTTTTGCAGTGTAATGAGAAGACTTTACCAGATAATCGACCTTTGATATCCTGGTAGTTGAGATCTGACCAGATATATGCAGCTGAAGACAACCATTACATCCACAAACTAAGTTAGCTCACACCACTATTGAGTAATAAAAAGAAAGCTGAAGAATCAGACAACCTTTGAGGCAAAAAGAACAAGAGCAAGATCTAAGCTCATCATCAGCTTCCATATCGTGGTTTACAATCTCCATACAGTCAACAGGCAACAAGCCCGTTCCTTCATCACTTTCTTTATTGCTGCTACTGTACAAAGTCTCCTTCAAGTCTTCATCGGTTTGACTTGCAAAGTCAGCCATGTTCGAGTCCTTACCACACTCTCTTTGACTAAGTTCCACCACAGCATCACCAACTCCAATATCAACCGCATTGGTTTCACCTTGAGACTCTTTTAAATTCTCAGAATCAGCATCAACAACAAGTGAAGAGCCATCGTTTGTATCGGTACTAGTCCTAGTACTCTCCTTGACCAAGTCGTCAACAACTAAACACAACCTCTTTGAAAACTTAACTCCTGAGCCTTCACTAACAATGGTCTTACCAGAATCGTCTCCAGATTTCAAAAGAAAATCACTCAAAATGGAAGATAGTCCTCTTTTGCTTGTAACATTAGTCATATCACACAGAGGGAGACGCGTTTCCTTTGACTCTAAGCTGCAGCTTTCTTCAGTCATCTTCACAAACAAGCAAACACAACAAATAAAGATGAAAACTTTACCCAAAAAAAAACAAAAACCCAAAAATTCTGGAGGAGCAATCAACAAAACCCACTTAAGAAAATCAACAAAACCCTAATCGAAACCTTCAATTTGGAATCAGAAACTGATAAGAAATGAAGAAGAATCCTAAAAAAGAAAACTTTAACCCCCAAAAGCAAAAGCCCTAATCGAAACTTTCAATTCAGAATCAGCAATTAATATGAAATGAAACGATTCATAGATTAGAAGAAGAACCCTTAAAAATAAAATAAAAGACCGATTGAGTTTGAGTTACTGACCAATGGGTTACTGCCATCTGTCGGAAAAAATCTTCGTTTGGTCGGAGAAGAAGAGCTTCTGTCGGAATAGGGGTGATTTAGGTTTTTTGAGGCGGGAACCTGAGAGGAATTTTTCGAATAGGCGTTTGGTTAATGGGCTTTAATTTATTAATCTAGGCCCAACTAAGTAAAAAGCCCAATTATATAGTGGAGACCCTATATATAACCAACTCTTATCTTCTTTTTTTCTAACATCTTATATTTATTATTATAAAAAGAGGTTAAACAAAGTACATGAATTCAGATATACAACAAATACATTTTTAAGCAAAACATGATAATAGAAAAGTAATAACACGATGCTTCCTAACTCTTTGCAGGATAGACTGATTCGCTAACTTTATCTATTTTTGTTCTCGGTCTTATATGATCTTGTGTTCGGCTGTCATTTGTTGCGATCCAACGCCTTTTAACACTTAACTGATCAGTGGATGCGATCCATCTGTTACATCGCTGCCCATTCCATACACTCCCGCTCCAGGAGATAACATGATTTGTTGTAGTCTCTGTCCATATCATAAATAATCCCTCATATTGGTAATGATAAGCACTTAAATCCATCATCTTCCACTCCATGTCTTCACATAAACATACCGTATGCACTCTTGTTGTCAAATAGAGATGAAATGCATGTCTTTGAACTAATGGAATCACCATCGTCCATGTCAGATTGTCAAACGAACGTGACATACACAATTTTCTCCATGGCCATGGTGGTTTAAGATTCCTTTTTTTGTTCCATAGAACTAGTAATCCTTCCAAAGAATTTTCTGGAGAAAATAAACCACCATGTCTAACAAGCCATGGAAATACACCGACAATACAAAACCACCATGTTTTGTTTGTTGGAAGATTGCACTCAACAACAAAGGAGATAACATACTCACCTATTAGGGAGAAAAAAGACCCGTCAAACAATTGATCCAAACCTCCTAACTGCCCAATAGACCAATGGAGAAACGGAAAACTGTTTGTCCATGAAGAAGACATCAAGCAACAGCGCCAGGAAGAAGAGAGATGGTGTGACAATAGATCACGTCGCTTCATTCGATAACTAGGCGACGACAATGACTTTATTTGAAAATTAAAAGCTTTAGAAACATAAAATACTAATATAATAAAAGTACCAACTCTTATCTTCAGACAACGATGTATGTACCTGAAGATGAGATCATATCTAGATATCCTCGAAAGGTGCGCCAACTGAAGTCAAGATTTTATCCACTTATAACTAAACACGTCATCTACCTTGTCGTAAAAATAAATAGACACCTCATCTACCTTGTCGTAAAAGCATTCACGTTTTAAAAAATCTACAGATTTCGTTTTTATTTATTTGTTTTCCATAATTGAACGGTCTCCTCTTCATCTCCTCCACCGTTTCGAAAAATCTTCATTTGATATCTTTCTTTTCTCTAATGGCGGTGGAAGAGCTTTCCCACGTAGCTGCGGCGAGGAGAATCCAGAGACTGACGTCACACATCTCCCCCACTTTAACGTCCCCGCAGCAGCTGCAGACGGAGACGTGTTCATCTCGGTCAAAGAAGCTGGTGGTCAACGGTGAGGCGTTGTCTCTCTACATGAAGGGGAAACACAGGGATATTCAGGAGAAGGTTCACGAGTTCTTCAATTCTCGTCCTGATTTGCAGACACCGCTCGAGATCTCTAAGGATGATCATAGGGAGTTGTGTATGAGGCAGCTTTATGCGCTTGTGAGAGAAGCTGGTATAAGGCCGTTTAGGTATGTGGCTGATGATCCTGCTAAGTATTTTGCGATCATGGAAGCTGTTGGAAGTGTGGATATGTCGTTTGGGATCAAGATGGGTGTTCAATACAGGTTAGTATAATCTTAAAGCTTCACAATTCATTTTTTAAAATTGAATCTTTGTGTTCCTTATGTGGTAATGCTTTTGATGAAAGTTGTTACTAGTGTACAACTAGATTGGTCATAACCCTTTTATATACTGATATATTAAACACATTTTCCTAAGCTTAATCATGAATAATTATAAGAACAACATTTACAAGATGATACTATGTAAATTCAAACTTATTATATAATTTTAATTTATAATTAATTGACGATAAATAGATTAATTCATTGTTTTTTCCATCTACCAATGATATGTCACACTCATTAACAAATGTTTTGTTCTGGGATCTGTCTTTTTGTTTTTATATGTGATTTATAGTCTTTGGGGAGGCTCTGTGATCAATTTGGGAACGAAGAAGCATAGAGACAAGTATTTTGATGGCATTGACAATCTAGACTACCTTGGTTGCTTTGCTATGACTGAACTCCACCATGGTGAGTGCTGACTAGTGCTGCATCTGTGTTTGTCTCATTAGTTTACTAACCTTTTTTTTTAAACTCAAGGGTCAAATGTTCAAGGTCTCCAGACCACGGCCACATTCGATCTCATCACAGACGAGTTCATAATCAACACACCAAACGATGGAGCCATAAAATGGTGGATAGGAAACGCAGCAGTCCACGGAAAATTCGCCACAGTTTTCGCCAGACTCATCCTTCCAACACATGACACCAAAGGAGTCTCTGACATGGGTGTTCACGCCTTCATAGTTCCCATAAGAGACATGAAAACACACCAGACCCTCCCTGGTGTCGAGATTCAAGATTGCGGACAAAAAGTAGGTCTGAACGGAGTAGACAACGGTGCATTGCGGTTCCGTTCCGTAAGAATCCCACGTGATAATCTCCTCAACCGCTTTGGAGATGTGTCACGTGATGGCAAGTACACAAGCACCTTACCAACGATAAACAAAAGATTTGGTGCAACTCTTGGTGAGCTTGTAGGTGGACGAGTAGCTCTTGCTTATTCATCCGTTGGTGTACTCAAAGTCTCGGCTACTATTGCTATACGTTACTCGTTGTTAAGACAACAGTTTGGTCCTTTAAACCAACCTGAGGTTAGTATACTTGATTACCAGTCTCAACAACACAAGCTCATGCCCATGTTGGCTTCCACGTACGCATACCATTACGCAAGCGTGTACCTCGTGGAGAAATATTCGGAGATGAAGAAGACTAACGATGAGCAGTTAGTTGCTGATGTCCATGCACTCTCTGCTGGTCTCAAATCTTATATAACGTCTTACACCGCTAAGGCGCTTTCGGTTTGTAGAGAAGCTTGTGGAGGTCATGGTTATGCTGCTGTTAATAGGTTTGGAGGCTTGAGGAATGATCATGACATATTCCAAACTTTTGAAGGAGACAACACAGTGCTTTTACAACAGGTAAGAAACTTACCACCTTGTCTTGATAATGAATAATCATGCTTATAGTGTTTTTTTTTGTAGGTGGCAGCTGATTTACTGAAGAGATACAAAGAGAAGTTCCAAGGTGGGACATTGACAGTCACATGGAGTTACTTGAGAGAATCAATGAGCTCTTATTTGGCTCAGCCAAATCCAGTTACGGCTCGTTGGGAAGGTGAAGATCATCTAAGAGATCCTAAGTTCCAACTAGATGCTTTCCGGGTGAGTTAGTTGCTTCTTACTATATTGAGAAGATGAAGTTTAAGCGAATATTTTTTGTTTATTACGTTTTCATTTTTTTTTTCAATGTGTACTATACGATTTTTTATATTTTACGATTTATTTCTTTATTGGTTGGAATTTTTTTCGAAAACATCTATATAGATGAAGATGATGGTTTAAGAGATTTTTTTTTGGGTTTCAAATTACATAATTTTTGGTTTAAAATGTGAAGTTTATTAAGTTATTATACTATATGACCTTTATATATTCTGCGGTTTTTTGTTTATTAGTTGAATTGTGATTAGATAGATAGTTTGGTTGATGTTTTTGTTTATAAATATATACAAACATTATATGTTTTCTTGATATGTATGTACAAACTAAAATGTATAACCTAAGTGGTCTATAACACTAACATTTTGTCTCCACAGTATCGAACATCGCGTCTCCTACAAAGTGTTGCAATGAGACTCAAGAAACACAGCAAGACACTTGGAACATTCGGTGCATGGAACAGATGCTTGAATCATCTCTTGACACTAGCAGAATCTCACATTGAAACAGTCATTCTCGCCAAGTTCATTGAAGCTGTTAGAAAGTAAGTAACATACAAACACACATCAAACCTTCCCTTACAACACAAGTTTAATAAACCAAAAACCGTCTCTTTCTTTCAGGTGTCCGGACCAAAGTGCAAGAGCTGGTCTGAAACTAGTATGTGATCTTTACGCTTTGGACCGAATATGGAAAGATATAGGAACGTACCGTAACGTGGACTATGTGGCGCCTAACAAAGCCAAGGCGATTCATAAGTTGGCTGAGTATTTGAGTTTCCAAGTAAAGAACGTGGCTAAGGAGCTAGTGGACGCCTTTGAGCTACCTGATCATGTTACTAGAGCGCCTATTGCTATGCAAGATGATGCTTATGCACAGTATACTCAAGTTGTTGGATTCTGAAAATGGTGAAAGGAATCAAGATTGAAGAAAGATCTCAAGTTATGAGTATATTCTATAGTTACAATGTATTAAAAAAGAGTTAAGAGACCAAACAGAGGAATATTCTGTTGTTTGTTTGTTGATCTAAGCTATAAAGTGGTTTCCTTGCCAATGCACACAAATAATTAAAAGAAAATACATGAAATCAAAACAGAGGACATAATTATATAAAAATGAGATAATACACACAAATCTCAACTTTGGAGTATATTCTATAGTTTCAAATTCAATGTATTAAAAGAAGAGGAATATCCTGTTGTTTGATCTAAACCTATATAGTGGTTTCCTTACCTATAATTTTAAAATCAAAACAGAGGAATATGTATTTTGGACTGGTTTAATGCTTTTCCGTTAATCTTTGACATTTGCATTAACTATGAAGAATGCCTAACGTTTTTGTTTTATGGTTATAGATTTTCTTCTTTATGGGTGTAATTTAATTTAATTATTAAGTAAAAAAACTAGTGTTAAGCACTGAGTTATTGAGTTTTATGTACAATGGTTATTTGTATCTTGAAAGAAGATGACGAAAATTATTAGACAATTGATCTTAACTGAACTAATTTTAAGAGATTATGTTTCTTATGATGACAACCTAGGATCCACATGAAACCGTTATGTGTTCATCATATTTTGGTATCAAATATTATTTATTTTATTTATGTTTTTATCATTATATATACAAATTATTCAGTTTACCATATCGTAGAAATCATGGTCCTATAAATAGTGACTCTCTCTCTCTCTCTCTCTCGTGACGTCTTGTTGTTTTGTGCAGCTATTGGGCAGTTATTGGGCAGTGGATATCCATATTCGGCCAGTTAGACCCGGATCTCTTTGAGCGTTGAGTTTAAGTTAAGGTGATGGACAGAGCATCGAGTCAACCCTTGGAGAATCGCGCCGCTGGAATGGACACTGAGAGAGGCAACGGCGATGATCACGGTGACGGAGGAGATGGGTGACAGCGGCAATGGCGGGGTCCGCGGTGCTGTCCGTTAATTTTACTACCTCTCTGGAATATAATAAAATGGGTCTGAGCCTTTTTTACCCACTTGTCAGGGTTGCATAAAACTTATTTTCAAACTTATGGGATGTTTAAGTCTTTTTAAATAGCATTTTGTTTAAGACTTTTCAAATTGCATCTAGTAGTTAATTTCCAGTTAATTTAATTAAACAAGTAACAATGTTTCCTAACCATGTTACCTATTTACAACTTACGAGCCACGTAAATTGAAAGTTTAGTATTAAATATTTAACTAGCCGTGAAAAAAAAAATTGTTTCTTCGACCATTGATAATGATCAAACTAATGTTAATACTGGGTCTTAATATCATTAAACGGGCTTATTTCGTACTATGGCGACTGGTCTAGTCTTAACTATTAAGACCCACGAAAGAATTATGTAGCTTTATGGTAGTTTAACAGAAGCAAAAATAAAAATAAAAGTGGATGTGACATGATGCAACACTCGGTGAGCTTGTAGGTGGACGAGTAGCTCTAGCTTACTCATCGGTTGGTGTACTCAAATTCTCGGCTACTATTGCTATACGTTACTCGTTGTTAAGACAACAGTTTGGTCCTCTAAACCAACCTGAGGTTAGTATATTTGATTACCAGTCTCAACAACACAAGCTCATGCCCATGTTGGCTTCCACGTATGCATACCATTTCGCAACTGTGTACCTCGTGGAGAAATACTCAGAGATGAAGAAGACTAACGATGAGCAGTTAGTTGCTGATGTCCTGTTGTTTGGTCTAAACCTAGATACCTGATGCACATAAATCTAAACCTATAATTATTAAAATCAAAACAGAGGAATATCAATTATATAAAAATGAGATAAATATACACAAATCTCAACTTTGGAGTATATTCTATAGTTTCAATGTATTAAAAACAGAGGAATATCCCGTTGTTTCATCTAAACCTATATAGTGGGTGCCTTACCTAATGCACATAAATAACTTTTTATAAAAAAGGTATTCAATGAAAATTTGAATTTTATCGATATTTAAAATTTTGATTTATCAGTTATAAGTAAATAAAAATTAAGACAAATACACATAAATCTTAAAATTCTTTAGTTACTGAAAACAGAGTTAAGAGAATAAACAGAGGTAGATTTTGTTTAATCCTGAAACATTTTATTATTAGTTTCTTCTAAATATGTTTCTCAGTAAACAAATAAATGTTTTCCAATTGTTTGTTTATACAACTTGACTAAAACGACACCGTGTATGTGGAATTGTCTTACAAAACTGAAGAAGACGGTAATAAAGTAGACAGAGAGAAGAAAGTGTTCACCTTTATCACAATAAGTGTGAATCACCGAAGCGGAGGCGATCTCCTGGATTCATGGCGACGCGTGACGTTGTAAAGGGTCCGTCGAGGATGGCCCCTAAGGTCTTGTTTTATTCAGTATTGCTTACGGTTCAGTACGGAGCTCAGCCTCTGATCTCCAAACGCTGCATCGGGTAACCATGTTTGGAACATGTCTCTTCATCTCTGATGTTTCACTTTCCTGTTGTGTAATATAGTGATCGAAAAATGAGACCTTTGCTTGATTCTGATGTATTCTCGTTGTTAGTGTTAGCAAAAATGCGATGATCACTGTAAAGATAAGACATTTATTACCATTTGTAAGTGTTGGTTGAATCTGAAAGTGTCTACTTTGCTACAGTGATGGTGTGCCTTGGCCTCTCGAATTAGCTAATATTTAATTATTTATCATAGTGTTGTATTTGTTCTTTTGGAAGTTACTATGTGATGTGGCGTTTTGTGTAACCTAGTACTTGATATTGAGGTTAGATTGGAAGATTTTCGACGTCTGTGATAGTGAAGATAATGAAATGTTAGTTAGCAGAAACATAGTTGGATTAGAACTTAGTAGGCATGGTCACTAGTTCAATTGGTTGTATGTTCTTGTAATGGTAATGGATTGCCTCTTACCATTGTAAGTGTTAAGTGTCATGTTACTGTGTGACGTTTCATGTAGTCTAGTACTTGATGTTGAGTTAATGTGGAAGATTCAGAAAGTCTGTGCTCAGTGTGATAGTAAGGATGAAAGCAATGTTAGATTAGAACCTACTCAGCTTGCTCACTAGCCAATTTTGGTTGTATCCTCTTATCATGGTTTTGGATTGAATGTTTTGCAGGAAGGAGGTTATTGTAACTTCATCTGTTTTGACTTGCGAGATTGTTAAGGTAGTGGAATCCTTGTTTCCCTTTCTTCTTTTGCTATTATGAAATACTGTTTATTAAAATTTTGGATTTTATCTTCTTTATTTTCAGGTCATATGTGCTCTAGTACTCATGGCAAGAGATGGTAGCTTGAAGAAATTAGCAAAAGAGTGGACTCTGATAGGTTCCTTAATTGCATCAGGACTCCCTGCAGCCATATACGCACTCCAGAACAGCTTGCTTCAGATCTCATACAGGAGTCTTGATTCCTTGACATTTTCTATTCTCAATCAGACCAAAATCTTTTTCACAGCATTCTTTACATTCATCATACTAAGACAGAAGCAATCAGTTCAACAAATAGGAGCTTTATGTTTATTAATCATGGCAGCAGTTCTTCTAAGCGTTGGTGAAGGGTCCAACAAGACTTCTTCAAGTGGTGTTAATCCGGAAGAAGTGTTGTTTTATGGGATTATACCGGTTTTGGTAGCCTCTGTGCTCTCCGGTTTAGCTTCTTCCCTATGTCAATGGGCTTCTCAGGTCAAGAAGCATTCATCATACTTAATGACGGTTGAAATGTCTATTGTTGGAAGTCTCTGCTTGTTGGTGAGTACTCTTAAGTCTCCTGATGGTGAAGCGATTAAAAGACATGGTTTCTTTCATGGTTGGACTGCTTTAACCATGGTAACTTCTAGCTCCTGAACCATTCTATTGATGTGAAAAACTGTTAGCAATGATTGTTTTTTTACTCCCATGTGAGTGTTATTACAGGTCCCAGTTATAAGCAATGCTCTTGGTGGGATTCTTGTTGGCCTAGTTACATCACATGCTGGTGGTGTAAGAAAGGGGTTTGTGATTGTGTCGGCGTTACTTGTGACGGCTCTGCTGCAGTTTGCGTTTGAAGGAAAGCCACCTTCATCGTATTGCCTTGTGGCTCTTCCTCTTGTGATCAGTAGTATCTCATTGTACCAGAAATATCCTTACCTAGACAAGAAGAAGAAGAAGGTCTAAGAACCTTAGCATCTTCTCAGATTCTGCTAAATATCTAGATGACAGTGATTCTTGGACTGTTCACATGAATTTGTATTAACACAGTGATAGTTAATACATTGAATTGAGTCTTGTAATGATATGAATCCGAGCTTTGATTACCAAAGATGTTTACCAAAACCTTCAAAATATTATAATAAAAAAAAAAAGAAGAATTATGATTCAATCGTTTCCTTGTAATTTATATTAATTCCATTTAATATTTAACCAAAATATATGTATTACCATTTTGGTACCATAGTAAAAACAAATGTATAAACGTGATTGGTGTCACATTCCCTAACAATCAAGAGCCGATGAAACATTTAGGCAATTACAAGCTGGTGTTCCTGGGAGATCAGGCCGTTGGTAAAACGAGCATCATTACATGTTTCATGTACGGTAACTTTGACACCAATTATCAGGTTCGATTACTCTCAATCTCCCCTCTACATCTACATGGTTCCAACATGTTTCACAACTTAATCAATACAATTCCTTTTCTTTTTTGGTCATCTACATGTATGTCTCCTTTATGATGATGATCATTGGTGTTACGGATTGCCTTTTGTATTATTATTGAAGATTGTGTTTCAATGTTTTGCAGGCTACAATTGGAATTGATTTTTTGGCCAAAACCATGCGGCATGAAGATACAACTTTTCGTCTGCAGTTGTGGTAAATCTATCTTTTATTTTTTTTTTTTAATTGTCTTTGTGTTGCAATCTGTTGCGTTGTGTACAACATTTCACTACAATACATACAAGAATAAGATCCATGTTAATATATGTTGCATGGAATGCACCATTAGCGTAGAGACATTATTTCATATTGTTCTAACTGATCTATGTGTTCAAAATTTTGCATATTGTAATAACGCAGGGACACGGCTGGACAAGAGAGATTCAAAAGCCTAATACCAAGTTATATCAGAGATTCTTCTGTTGCTGTCATTGTCTATGATGTTTCTAGTAAAGACTAAATATAACTACTTTTTTTACAGCACTAACGTTTCAAAGCAGGTCTTGTTTTTGTCTTCAGTACTCAATAGCTTAGTTCTCACAATGATGCAGATAAGCAATCATTTATCAACACTTCCAAGTGGATTGAAGATGTTCGCGCAGAAAGAGGCGACCAAGTCATCATTGCTCTTGTTGGTAACAAAACCGATCTTGTTCATAGAAGGTAAAATATAGAGGGATCATCCTAAATTGCTTCATTTCTTTGATTAAAAGATTTTCAAATAATGTTGTTCTTGGTTATTAACCAGGCAAGTTTCAATAGAGGAAGGGGATACCAAAGCTCGTGAGCTTGGAGCTTTGTTCATAGAGACTAGTGCAAAAGCTGGCTTCAACATTAAGGTAATTAAACTAACACACAAGACAATGGTATTCTTTAAGTAAAACTTAACTAGTTTTTTTTATATTTTGAGTACAGCCTCTGTTCTGTAAGATTGCGTCGGCGTTACAGGGGACTGAGACAGTTACTTGGATGAGACAAGATGATTTGGTGGATGTGAACTTAAAGCCATTGACCAATGCATCTCACTCAGAGCAACAGGGAAACTGTTCTTGTTAAATGATTTATTACATAGCTTTTTAATTACAGAGTTAGGACAAGAAAGAACATTAATGTGATTTTGATAAAACTATATTGTTACAACAACCAAGAGCTTTCTGCTGGAACTGTCTCTGTAATAGAGAGATATAGTCTACTGTCTTTCTATCTATCTAACTTCTCTATAAAGGAAAAAAATATACCATAATGACAGAGAGAGAACCAATGGTTTAGATTCTGTTTTCTCAGAAAGTTTTTTTTTTTTTTTGTGAGGTTGTTTGTATATTACATGGTAAACAAAAACATTAATTTTCTTTTATAAATTTTATAGCTGCCTACAATTGCATTCATTTATCATCATTTTAAATTTGTATTCATTAGGTGTAACTGCAACGCCTTTTTTTCTAGGACTGTTTTTAGCAGTACTATTTCTGTAACTTCATACAAACAGGTCTGTAAATACACTATAGTGTGAGACATAATAAGGGCATCTCCAATCTACACACCAAATTTGGTGTGAAAAAAACACTAAATTTAGTGTTTTGGTGTTTCACTTTCTTTTTCATCTCCAACCATAAACACCAAATTCCACACCAAAAAGAATATTCTCTATTATTATAATATTAAATTTAGTTTGCTGTTTATTTTTTAATAGTTTACTAATTAATTATTATTTATAAAACTGATTAATTAATAAATAAAATATAAAATTCCAATTGATAAAAAACTTAATATTAATCAATAATTTGAAAACTATGTAATTATTATGTAATTTTATGTGTGTTTAATTTTAATTATGTAATTATATATTTTCATTAATTTATTATTTTAGTTAATGGTATTTATTTGTATTTTTAATTAATTTGCTTATTAAGATATGTTAAAAATATAATTAACTGATATATATTTATTTAAATATATTATTTTAAGGTAAAAGTAAGAATAAAAAATTATTTTATTTTTTGGTGTTTTGTGAACAGTGTTACACCAAATATGGTGTAACACTGTTCACAAAACACCAAAAAATTATTTATGCCGTTGGGTTTACCGTTCGGTTGGAGAGTGAAGCACATCATATTTGACTTTTTGCCGTTCGGTTGGAGTTGGCCTAACACGATGAAGTTCACACTCAGTGTCTTAGTTATAAGGAAAAGAAGAGTACCATTGCTGAGACCATTGGGGCTCTTTATATTTAAAAATTCATATCTCTTAAATATGATATAAAATTTATTAAAAAATATATATTTCAACTAAATCAGAAAATAAAATATAGAAAATAAAACATAAAAAATTATAATTTTGGATATTTATGTTATTAAATTGAGTATGAATCGGTTCTTATTGGATGAGATTTATTCGGGTTGTTTTTTTCGTGTCTGGATCTATTCAGGTCGGTTTTTCGGGTAAAAAAATTCTACAATTAATAATACTTGTTAATTTTTGGTTTGGTTTCGAATCGGATATTTTTAGGTCTGTTCTAGTTCGGATTTTCGGATCCGGTGTAAAAAATGTCCAGGGCCTAACCAAAATACTGGGCTAATGGGCCGTTGTTTTGTTTTTTTTTTTATAACACTGAAATCCGTTCGAGCCGAAATGGAGTCCAAACATACAAAGAAAGAAAAGGAAAAGGAAAGGTGACAATAGACACCAAGAACGAAAAGAATAGGATATCTCACCAAAGCCTTCTACACTTGAGCCTCCAAAGCAAGTAGGTGATGAAGCCAAACGGGACCTCCTTGAGCAATATAGGATTGATGGCGCAAATCACGAGTGACACTCACCGCAATTGACGTAGCTGACTCATTGCGTGCGGGGCGAACGTGGTCTACACTCCAACAATCAATCCGTGTGAGAAGGTAGCAGATATTGTGGCGTATATGGCTGAAAATATTGTTGTTATCTAGATTTGTGATAACTCTATGAAGGCTTTCAGACGCTGTTTCGAAGATTATATTAGAGAAGCGCAGATTATGCATACATTCCACCGCCCAAAAAAGAGCCCATAACTCCGCTTCTACAACTGTGCGCATGCACGAATAAGATCGACGACTATGCATGATTGTAGACCCATGTTCATCACGTAGAATCCATGAAGCACCAGAAAGTTGGCTCGAATTTAACCATGAGGATCCAACATTACATTTAAGAAATCCCTGGGGCGGTTTTTTCCAGCCTCTCTGAACCGTCTCATCCACATCATTACTACATTCATTCTTACAAGAAAAAGTATCAAACCATGTGGATTCTTCTTCATATGCTCGTTTTGCAATCAACGACGGTGGTAATACTTTATTTTCAAAAATGATAGCATTCCTAGATTTCCAAATTTCCCATAACAACCATGGGAAGACATTCCTTGTATGTATATCCATACTAGAACTTGAATCCATCTTGATTAAATGTACAAAATTTAAAAAAGTAAAGTTTCGAGAAAACCCACCAAAGGGAGTAGGGACATTCGATTGCTCCCATATATTACGGGCTTTATCACATGTAAAAAGAACATGACAAATACTCTCCGCACCATTGCCACACACGGCGCATGTGGAGGCCGTTGTTTTGTTAACTTATCTTTTGGTATATATTCTGAAACCTTTTGTCACATCCTGTCGGAAACCTTTTAAAAAATAAATACTTTCTCAAAGTTTATAAATCGACCCCATGAGTTATTTTTACACTCTAAGGACACCCTCCTCCTCTCTCCTTCGCCGGAAATTTCAATGGCAAATCATCAGCCGGAGAATTTCAACGACGAACTCAAAGATGAGACTATGAGTAAGAACAAGAAGAAGAAGCCATCGAGTTTAGAAAAGAGAAAACTTAAGGGAAAGAACAAAGAGATAACGAACAGAGACGAAGCGTCTTCATCCTCAAAGTCTACTCAAAGGGTATCTCATAGATTGCGTAGCCCTACGGTGCGTTTAGGTATGGCTCGACGAAGTGTTGATGAACGACAAGCTGAAGCCTTGGCTCTTCGTCTAGGCATGTCAATTGCAGCTTTTGTCAATTTGGTTCGATCTCTCTCTCTCTCTCTCTAACTCCTTTGCTCTGTTTTTGCTTTTGCTGTTTGAAACTGGACTCTGTTTTGTTTTTTTCTGTTATGACTTGTTTCATTTTTGTTTGAATATGACGTCATAATCTGTGATAAAAAGTTCTCTAACCTATAAGCAATGCTCTAACCTACTCTGGCACAGTTGAATTGTCTCATCTCTCACTTGTCTTAAAGCTTTAGCCTTTGTCATGTAGCTCTGATTATGACGTCACCAAAGTCACTGGCTTGCATTGTTCTGTAATGATAAACTGTATCTTGTTTTGTTTCTGTTTAGGCTCTGTTTTTGCTCTTTTCTAACTCATTAGGCTCTGTTTTTGCTCTTGTAGTTAGAAACTGGACTCTGTTTCATTGTTTTTTTTTCTGTTATGACTTGTTTCACTTTTGTTCCTATTAGTTTGAGTTTTGCTTGAAATCTAGGCTTCTTCTCTGTGCTAAAAAAAGTTCTCATCTTTAGAGTTTTAAAGCTAAAAGAGTATTTGATCCAAGTCTTGTCTTAAAGCTTGAGCCTTCTTTGTCATGACTCACGACGAATGTGTAGCTCTGATTATGACGTCACCAAAGTCACTGGCTTGCATTGCTCTGTAATGATAAACTGTATCTTGTTTTTCAGGTTCTTGAAAGAGCGAGCGTCGCAGGTCAGAATGTTTATGTTGATGATCTTGGAGTAGTAAGTAGTATGACTTGAAACAATTTGTTTTAACCTCTTCCTTTTTTTTGGGAAATATAAGTTTTTTTTACTGGTTTTGCTCTGCAGATTTCTGCTTCTGCTATCAAAGAATCTTTAGCCAATGTAAGCCAAAAAGTCTCTTGCATCGTCCTTTTGCATTCTTCAGTTTATAGACATCCTTTGATGATGTGGCTACAGGTCTATGGTCACAAACTTGGTTCCTTTGCGACCAACTTTGAGGAATCATTCAACACTACTCTAAGGATCCTTAAAATGATCAATGAATCCCCATTTCAGCATCAGTTAAACAATAATAACAATGCTGCGAGTTATAATGTAGACAGCGAGCTATCTGCTGATGAAGCAATCCAAGGCGGTGCAAGAACAACCTCTTCGGTGCATGAGATTGTCCTACACGAAGAGCCTAGACAACTCTCTTGTGTCCAGCAGAGAAGCTTACCTATGTCCATGACCCCATTCGAAAGGTTTTATATACAAGAGCAAGCACTAGCAAACGACCTGAAGAGAGAAGAGAATGGTCTTAAAGAGAGGGAACTAAGGGATAAAAAGATAGAGTTAGCACTGAGATATGAATCAAACAGTATCGGGAAATCGAAGCTGGAGATGAATGTTTTGAAAAAAGCATTCGATGAAGAGAGATTTAGAACCGAACAAGAAGATACAAGAAATGCTGATATGGTCAGAAAAATCATGGACTGGCTAGTAGTAAGTGTCTTCATCATGTTGGCTTCTATGTTATACGGTGCTTACGTGTTCTCGCAGCAGAGAATCATGGAAGCTACTTCAATTTGCGAGCCATCCGAGGAGACAACCTCTTCTTGGTGGGTTCCTAAACAAGTTTCATCGATAAGCACAGAGTTTAACATCTTGCTTTGCCGGGTTAGAGTTTGGGTTCAGAGTTTCTTCGGTGTGTTGATGATCCTTGTCTTCACTTACTTCATAATCCAACGGTCTTCAGGTACAAAGCAGACAATGCCTGTAACTTTCATCGTTCTTTTCCTCGGTATTGTTTGCGGTTTACCTGGTAAGCTTTGTGTGGACACATTAGGCGGCAACGGTAAGCTCTGGCTGTTACTTTGGGAAGTGTTTTGTCTTTTGCAGTTCGTTGCAAATGTTTTCACGTTGGCTTTGTATCGTTTTCTGTATGGTCCAGTAACTGTGACTGAAGGGGAACGTTGTGGTGACAGTATGATTCCGTATTGGGCACGGCGTAGTGTCTTCTTTGGGTTGATTCTGTTGGTTTTGCCTGTGGTTAACGGTTTGTTGCCTTTTGCGACAGTTGGTGAATGGGGACACCATTTCACTGTGGTTGTGTTTGAGTCTCTTGGTGGGTTGGGGTCTGATGATTGAGGAGAGGAGTGTCCCATCTTTGTAATGTTTGTATTATTATTTAGTGTTGGGTTTGGGGTTTTATGTTTGATCTTATGGATGTTGACAAAACAATGGTATGACAGTTACAAAGTTGTTATGTATTTGATGTACTTAAGCTAGTTTTACTGTTGTCACTTGTTAGAACGAAATATAATTAAGCTGTTAATGGATTGTAGAGAATAGGCATGTTTGACGAACATGCCAGGATTACTTAGCAAGTCATGTAACATGCAAACAAATTTTAAAAGCAACTTATTAAACAATGCTTAGGAGATATGCACACGATTTCAACCAAACCAAACATGTCATATTGAACTAGGATTTATAATACTTCGTTCATCTTCGGTTCATGATCCTAAACCGATTGGTACATTTTCATTGAGATTGCATGAATTTAACTAAAATTTAATTTTAAACGATATATATATTAATATAAACAAGTTAATTTAATTTTAACTGATATATATATATATAAATATATCTTATATATTAAAACAGAAGTCATGACTTGACTTCATGTGTGATTTTTTTAAAAATGGACTATTACTAGAAAGTCATGTTACATTAATTATCTAATAATCTTATCATTATTATATCTTATGAACATATCTATAGTAACAAATATACGCTTAACAATTTTGTTTTGGTAAATTATCTCATACCTTCCAACTTAGTCACGCAAAATATGTCAAACAATATAAATTTAGGAATCTTCTATTATTTATAAGGAAATATGTCAATAATAATTAAATGCATCCACAATATATTAACAAAAATCACATATTCGTAATATGGAAAATTTATATACCCTAACAAAGTTTATACGTTATATATACTAGGTAAATTTATTTCGATGTAAATTTTTAAAATTATATTGTTTTAAAAAAATTGTTTAAAAAAATCTTTTTTAGTAAAATTCTTTCTAATATTAATTTATGAAGCTATAAGTTTAGTTTTTAGCAAAAAAAACAATTTGAAGTTTATATTATCTTTGAAAATTAAAGTATACTAATATTTAATCAAGCTCTATTTATATTAATTTATCTAAAAATGAAATACTAATCTAACAAACAATAAAATATAGAAGAAGAAACAAACACATGTTTGAAAAAACATGTATAATATAGAAAATTTGAAATAATCTATTTGATTAAAACATGTATTATATAATATTATTATATTTGAAAAACATTTACTATACATATCGTAAATATGTGATTACTATGATATATACCAATTTACAAGTGAAAACAAAATGTTTATATAACTAACTATAAACGAAAACAAACACCCGCGCGGTTGCGCGGGTCAAAATCTAGTTAATATTTAAAAGCGAACTAGAAAACAACTGAGATTGCATGAATTTAACTAAAATTTAACCAGAAATAGTTTCATTTCAGAGAAAAATTAGAAAACCAAATTAACCGAACCGAACAACAAATTATGTTGGTTCAGTTTTACATCTTTTACAATTACCAAATTAATCGAAAACCAAACTAATTGTACCAGCTAAGCTAAATTAACCGAATTAACGACACAGTAGGAAAAAAAAAACAAAAGTCAGATTTATGGATAATGAAAGCCACGTTAAAACCTGTTATTTTAACAGAAGTACAACCCAGTTTTGATTCGAAAAAAAAAACTGGTCTTAGTAGGATTAAACAGTTTGATTAGTACTATATTAAAAGATACTAGATGACTCACCCGCACCTTGTGCGGGAATAAAATAAGGCAAAATTAGGGTTGACATGCTTTGATCACATGTAGTGCACAAAAACAAAGACTGGATATCAACATCAACATTGTTTGTAGGTATTACTTTTGTTGTAGTATTAACAGTTCAATCTATATTCATAATTGATATATTGATAGTCATAATGGTAATGGAAGTCCCAACAAGTTCCTAAATGACAATATGTCAAAAATCTTCGTCAGAATGTTAGCAAAAAGAATCTTATCATGTTGCCTGGATAAAACAATGAAAAATTTAGTTCATATACGTCAGTAATATGAATGATATCTCTATTGATTAACAACTCCTTAAGAAAAAAACATATAGAAAAAGATGATGTAGTAGTAAGGGTGTTCAATCTGAATTTTGGTTCAGTTTCTGTTTAGTTTTTCAAATTTTTGGTATTTGGGTTTATAAAACAAACTACCATATTAAAACCATATAGACTTTGTTTGGGTTCGGTATATATACCGTCGGTTTTCGGTTCTTTCAGTTTTACACCAAAAAACCATATTTATCTTTTATAATATTTTGTGAATTTTACTTAATATGATTAAATACCAACTTTAATAAAACAGAAAAAATCAGTTTTAAAATAGACTATTTTTATTTTATTTTTATTTAAATATTTTAAATAATTAATAAACATATTAGGTTAATAATAATAACAATTTTCAGAAATAAAATAGGAAAATAGTATCACTATATTATTAAATAACTATATATTAGCACACATATTTGTCAACGAAAAAAAAGTAAAACTTGTTTTGTATAATCTGATAAAAATGAAAAAAAAATAACTTTTAACTTAAAAAAATAATATCAAATTACTACATCAACTTTTTAAGTATCATATCAATAACTTTATGACCATGCATGACCGTTGTCTAGATCGTCTTCATATTTTTGATCAGATTTGATTCAATTAAAGCATGAATTCTTGTCACATGTTTAAACATTAAAAGGTTTTTGTGGATCAGTTAAAAATAAAATAAAGTACCATGCAAATAATTAGTAGAATTAGTAGCTATCAAAAACATTGCAATTCAAAATATATTTAAGGAAAAAACTAAATCTTCGTAAAAATGACTTTGCCATTTAAAATTTGAATTAGTAATAATAACTATCTTCTTTCTTATCGATGAAACCATTTAGTGATATTTTCTGGTTTCTTTGTTAAATTTCATCCACAAGTGAATGATCTTAACTTCGATACGCCATGTTTCTTTAAATGATTTTTAAGTCTTTAGCATAAGAGAAAAAAAAACACATTTTGTATGTCTAACCATTGCCATTATTATTTTTAATTGATATATCAAAAGAGAGAGATATTTGTATGATAAAATCTTGGTGACCAGAATTATACACATAGAACTTTGATGTTCTCTTTTTTTTTACATCAAAATATTAGTCAATTACTCAAACTTGAGATGGTTGAAGAATTCAGACCGGAATAGAACAATCAATAAAAACTAATTTCTATAGAAAGCTCGAGCTGTCATGGACAATCTATCTGTTATCCGGTTATGGAGCCACTAAAGTGGCTTCTCATTAATATATAGTGGGATGTAAATATGATATTTTAAATATAAAAAATACTCTAATCATTTATAAAAATGATAACTCAACTATAATATCACATTGCAATTACAATGATTGAAATTTTTTAGAATTATATATTTGATTGTTTTACATTCGTTTGATAGATTTTTATAGTATATGTATATAGTGAGAGAAATATTATTAGTTTTATTTATTAGTTTTCTGTAATCTATGATTTATTGTATACACTATAAATATAATATTTTTAAAATCGTTTATGTAGTATCATATGTATCTATATTTATATTATAAATTTTTATAACGTAATCTATGATAATCAATGGTTTCAACAAAAACAATTATGTTAATTCATTTAAATTTAAGATGTTTGATTGTTTATTTGGTAACATATATTATATTAGGTAACTCTATGATTAGTTTCCTTTTAAACACTTGATTTAAATAAATAAAAAAATTCAAAAACCAACAACCAATCAAATTAAGAGAATTAATTCTAAACTTCACCTATGAGTGACACCTAAGCAAAAATCAATAAAGTGACTTCTCATTTAATATATAGTAGGATATAAAGGATTATAATATTATGGGTCGGCGGGTGGGTGGGGTAATGACTACGATGGATCCTATTATCTCTTCGAATTAAAGATAAACACAGAAGAGACTTTTCTTTTCTTCTTTTGATTTTCTCAATCGGATCTAAATCAAGACCCGATAACCCGACGGGAAAAAACGATGTCCACCTCTCCGTCGGATACAGAATCGTCCCACTGGTGCTACCACTGCAACAAACGCGTCATCATCGTCGAAACTCAAGACGACGTCGTCTCCTGCTCCGAATGTAACAAAGGCTTCGTCGAATCAATCCACCCGATCTCCGTCCCGCCGCCGCCACGCTCCCCAGATCTGAGCGTAGAAGACTCCACCATCGGCTCGCATTTCCTCCAGATGCTCCGTCTCTTAACCCACGCGCCTTCTCCGCCGCATGCGTCGTCGTACGAAGACGAGTTCTTCGGATTAGAGCTTAATCGCACAAACGAAATCGAAATCGAAGACGAGGAGGAGGAAGAAGAGGAAGAGGAAGAGGAAGAAGAAGAAGATGTAATCCCGATCACGAGCCGATCGATAACCGGACGTAACCGGATTCTCGATTGGGCCGAGATTCTAATGGGAATCGAAGACAATTCAGATCGGTACACTCTAAATTCATCTGATTACGTCGACGACGGAGCTAATTACGAGGCGCTTCTCCAGAATCTAGCTGACGGAGACGGCGGCGGTGGTGGTGGGAGGAGAGGAGCGCCGCCGGCTGCTAAATCGGCGATTGAGGAGTTAGAGAGTTACGAGGTTGGTGGCTCTTCTGAAGTTTGTGCGGTGTGTAAAGATGCGATGGTTGTTGGTGAAACTGTTAAGAAGTTACCGTGTGGGCATTGTTACCATGGTAATTGTATTTTACCGTGGTTAGGGACGAGGAACTCTTGTCCTGTTTGTAGGTTTCAGCTTAAGACTGATGATGCTGAGTATGAGGAAGAGAGGAAGAAACGAATTATCGACACCAACGCCACGTCCTTGAGTGATTCATCTGCTGCTTCTTCTTCGGCTTAAGGTTTCTTCTCTTTATATGTATGTGTGTGTGTACCCTTTGTTTCTTACTCTTTAGATTTAAAGAAACTTTGATTGGTCTCATCAGCAATGTTTTATTTTGCAAATATCAACAAAGAACACAAAATTTCCTGCTGGAAAAGACGGTTTATAGATTGTGTATTTGTGACTTTGTGTTGTAGCTTCTCTCGATTATTGATAGGTGAGGTGTCTGGTGAAGCCAATGGATAGATATCTTTGTAGCTTCTTCATTCCGACCAACTCTGAGGTTGTGCTATTGAATATCTCTTTGTCTTTTCCTGTAGTTTTCCAGTATCCTGTATTCGTCGCCCGATTTGTTCTCACACCCGTCGGGTACTTTCGGTCGCGTAGACTAAAAAAATGCCATTCTTTCCCTCCCATTTTCGCCTTCTATATCAGGTGGTCGCGTATCTATTGATGCGATTACGCTCGGATCGTATACTACAATTGTTTGGGTTTACAGAAGTTAATACAAAGGTTCTTATCAATAAGCCTAATCAATTCTCGAACGTTTAAACAACTTAGGGGCTATTATTAGTAGACATAATTAGCATTTAACTAAATACTTTTCCCCCTATGGCATATAAGTTTATAACAAAACAAATAATTTAAAAACTGCAGTATAGTAAAAACTGATACTTATTGTTTAATAATGATAAAATGGGGGGTTGCTGCTGATACTTACTTTTTTAATTATGGAGGAATCATAAAATTGAAAACTATATATTAAAAGTTGTAACTATAAAAAAATCATGTGTTAACGGCTGTAATTATTATTTTCAACTTGAGTTTTTTTTTTTTAGAAAATTTTGCTACAAATTAGCTAATTTGTATGCTTCATGTAAGGAGTAGATTAACGTATCTTATGCTTTGTAAAGTTATCTTAATATTTTCTATAAGAGCTAGCCAGGTTTTCCCAAAAAGCAATAAAAAAATATGTGTGTTTGGACATGTGCCACTAGCAGTCTGCTGTGTTGAATGCCTGCATCCCCATCATTTTAGATTCAATACTAGGATTCTGTAGCATTTAATAAAAAATACAAGATTCTGCTAAAATCAATATTATCGTGTTCTAAATAATTTCTACCACACAATAGTACCTACTCAGCTCCTAATATATGTTTTTTCTTCTGTCTCAGTATCGCATAAATATTTGGAAGAATATAGGATAAACAGATTTAAAAAGGGGTCTATTTTTGGTACGAATTTCCGAAATATGACGGGTAATAAAAGCCAAGCAACTGTATTTTTGGGCAATGATAAAAGCAACTATTTAAAAAAGTATTAAACAGACCCGGCCCATAAAAAAAAGTTATTACCCCAAGGCCCATTATTAACGAAAACGTTGCACCACGATCAACCGTTGTTGGAGACAGCACCGCCGACTCCTCCGCCAGCTCCGCCGTCGTCCCCATTTCCTCCGCCGTTCACACCTCCGCCAGCTCCTCCGTCGCCCCCCTGCTTCGCCAACTCAGCTTCAATCGCATCCAAGAACATCTTCTCAAGTTCTCTACGAGCCGTTGCGCTCTCCAGAGTGGATCCCCTGTGAAGCCGGTTGAGGAAAGCCGGGTCGAGGTATACCGAGACAAACATCCGCTCCTCAGGAGCTTCAGAAATCACAAAAGGACAAGAAAACACTGTCAGAGAGAGAGTCACTGCGTTCTCAAGGTGTACGGACATATAGAGAGAGAGAGAGAGAGAGAGAGAGAGAGAGAGATCGACCTGGAACTTGGTCGATCTGCGCCAAAAAGGTATCGACGGCATGGATGGTTTCGTTCACCCGAGCCAAAGCTGTAACCACCTCCTGGGGAGCTGTATTACAGCCAAAAAACGTCACGTCAGAGAGAGAAAGAGAGAGTTTAACGGCGATTTCACTATGTGACTATTTCTTACCCGGGTATCGAGGGACGACTTCCTCCACGACAGCTGCCTCCGCCGGCGCTGGAGCGATCACCACCGCAGGAGCGATCACCGCCGCAGGAGCTTCACACCAAAAAAAAAGCAGTGAGTTAAGCAGTGAGTTAAGCAGATATTTATGAATAAGATCTGTACGCACGTACCTTCCTCAACCTTCGCTTCCTCCACGACAGCTGCCTCCGCCGGCGCAGGAGCGATCACCACGGCAGGAGCTTCACACCAAAAAAAAAAGCAGTGAGTTAAGCAGTGAGTTAAGCAGATATTTATGAATAAGATCTGTACGCACGTACCTTCATCCTCGTAATGCATGACTGAGTCATCACCTTCTTCGACACCATGAGACATCTTCCTCCTCTCTGTTTTTTTGTTTGCTCTGTTTTTTTTTTTTGGTTTCTTTTGGAATAGAAAATGGGTTTCCTCTCTTCCATTTATAAAGGGATTACTTTTTGTCACGTACACCCACACACACACGATTACTATTTTATTTAATCTCAACCGTTCATAACGATTGTGCAAGATTTTTATAAACCGCTTTGTCTCCCCCCATCGTCAACACACGCGTTTTTCTTTCACGCGCTCACCCCTATAACCGTTTTGTTCCCCCTCCCCAATCCACGCGCTAAATGATTAGCCTTTAGAGGTCACACCTTATTCATGCATGTTCTGTAACGAATTTTAAAAGGTTACACCTTGGATATGACGTTTATGCGACATTTACATAATACTATCCATGCACGTTTTGGCAAAAAATAACAGTACATACATAAGAGACAAACATCCAAATTAAAAATTATAAAATATAAAGACTATATTATTGGAAACATTTCAGTAAACAACCATAAAATCCAATATAATATATGATTTGTAAATTCGTTATGTTGTTACCGATATGACAAGCGAAGTCAGAATCCACTGACAATGATTGGATCATGCAATTCGTAAAATGTCTATGCAATAACTACGAAACACCACTCTCGTAAGACTTATTATTTTGGAGGTTTGTTTCCTGTTACTCTTTTAATATTAGCTACTTTATGTGACAGAGTTAATTTACTATAATTTTCTTCTGTAACACCAGTGTACTATAGTTTTCTTTTTACATTTTTAACGGTTAGAACCATAGAAGATACTATATCATTAAAGGATCTCATCATTTGCCTATTTCCCCGGCCCCAGATCAGTAGTTTTGGGGCGTGGAAAGATCGACATGCTAGCTTCATACCTCATTTTGCAGTTGACGAGTGTAGCAACCTCATTGCAAATAAGATTTTTTTTTTTTTTTGAAATTTAATCAATTATTCTTTATCTGAAAACATATTCCTTGTACTCTTTTCGTCGTTTTGTTTGGTCGCAGACCCACGTGCATCTGTCTCTCTTCTAAACAACAATCTACACAGAACCAAAAATAGCTTTTGGTATTCCCTTATATATTTGATCTCAAGAAATTGTACATATTGTCACGTTATTATTTTTTGGTAAAATATATTTTGCCAAAGCTAACCATATAACAACGTTTGTCAGAGTCGACAATGAGTCTAAAAAACACCGGGGTAATTTTTCATGACAAAGTTTACATAAGTAGACAAAACGTCCACGTACAATTCTCCTAATAAATCCTCATAAATTGTGATCATTCAGAATTTCAGATCATATATATATATATAATGATGCCCAAGAAAATATCTTTGCTGTTTCCAACTACAAAGCGTCTGCGCTATACAGGCACCAACATCACGTTTTTTTTATCAGATTATGCTATGTCAGTTTTTATTTGTATTTGATGGTCTACTGATTAAGATATAAATGTGGTACTAGTAATTAATAAGGCGCAATCTGATTTAAAAATGTAAAATTATAACATATAGAATATATTTGTTAAATTTATATAGTATTTACGGTCATATAGATGCCATGCATGTCATATAACTATAGCATGTTTTAGAAAATACCATGCATGAAACAGTACAAATTAAATCTTCACGTTATACGTTGTAGTATATAGACATATCTACGGTCGTATTTGATAAACTATATCTTGAAGAAAATGTCCATTGGTGAATGGGACTTACTTTTTCCAGAAAATCAGACACAAAGGTTAAAAGTGCAGGCATAAAACATGAAAATTATGTGCATTCTAATTTAAAATACTGTTCATTACTAGTTTTTCAGAATGTTTATGTTACTGTCCTTTTCCCACATATTATTTCCTTAATTATTAGGGTCAGACCTTTGATAAGAACCTTGTTTAATTAAGTTGTTACATGCATGCATCGAGAAGAAACTAAGCTTTCAAATAGTTCTAGCTAGACTACGTACGCAAATAGATTTAGATTATGCGTTCTATATACATACTTTCTGGTTTATAAATTTAATAATGCTTTTTTCTTATCCACAAAACCCACTACGCTGAATTTGTGTGGGTTTAGGGAGTTATTTAATTACCGTATAATGTACTATTGCATCTTATATATTGTGCCTAATACGTACACGTACGGTTTTAAAAGACCATCTTAACGAACAACAACGCGAAAGAGAATGCGAGCTTGATACCAATACAAGAACACACGATTAAACTCTATAAAAATATCATCATATTATAAAACCAGCAGTTAATAAGTGTTTTTAATCTACCACACAAATTAAAAGAAAACAAACGTTAAATTCAAGTCTCCAAGTAGACGAGACTCTCACTCTGATCCATCAACATCACGGTAATGGTCGATCTATCAATATTAAACCAGTGGTCCGGTATTCCTTTTATTTTGATCTTTGTCATATCATTGCTTTGAAGGTCATAACAGAGAATGTGAAAGGGAGAAAACATATCCTCTGGTATAAAGAAAACCTTGTTATTGTCCGCCGTACCTTTCATCTTGTATATAGTTTGGTTATTAATAACCAAATGTAGCTGAGAAGACTGCAAAAACATAGTTTTCCTTGACCAGCTCTTCTTGTTCCCAACATCTTCCACAGCCCATAAATCAAGCATACCCTTTTCTCTAAGATTGGTTTGGTCAATGATAGTTACTTTGCCACCATACTCTATAAGACTCACATTCTTCATCCTTAGAAGCACTTGATCTCTGTCCCTACGAGGTACTTGGATCATTTTGAGGTCTCCGGATCTAATGTGGAAGCTCACAAGCGTTAAACTATACCTACCAGTCCAACCCATGTAATATATAACCCCATCAATACATATTCCTCTTTTGGCCGGAATGTGAGGACGATAGTCTGGTGGAGTTGGAGACACCTTTTTCCAGGAACCTTCTCCTCCTCCAGCTTTTATGACAAAGACCAGATGCTCTGACTTTGTCTCTCCCAAATGTTTCACGTAGACACCAGTTGACCAGAGCACATTGTACTGGTCGATAACTGGGTCATATCCAAAATAGTAACTGCATGCTTTGGAGGCTTCTTCTTCTGGAGGAGAAGGTATGATGTGTTGGGATTCGATGGCGGCAGGTATGGTGACTAGTTGTCGGGTGGCAGGGTTATAGATCTGCGGCTTTCTCATAAAGGAGTAGCACATGAAGCCACGAAGATTTTGTAAACCGTAGCCTCCCGCCCGAGTGCTGGTCAGATTGTGGTCAACCACAAAGCAATTAGGATTAGTAGTGTCTGGAGCCAATGAAAGTGTTACAGAGTTACTCGGGTCCTTGTTATCCTGCAAACACATGTAAATAATCCGAGGACGAGTTCGGGTTGGAACTGTGAGAAAACGGTTACTGAAATATCGTGAGCTGATATGGGATGACCAAAGCTTTGAGACACATTTAAATCTCATCAGAGATTTTGCGGGCAATCTCGCAAGAATCTCCACCATCACCACATCATTAGGAATCTCCATCTCCTGCCGTATTCTTCTCTTCATCCTCTTCCGATGGATCACAGATAAACGGAAAGACAAACCCATGTCGACAGAGCACCTATTGAAGAAACCTATGAATAAAAGTCGCCCGTTTAATTAGGGTTTTAACACTGATATATAGAACAATTTATTAATGGAATAATATGATAATGTTAATATTCCTATACAATTTAATTCAATAATATGATAATTTTAATATTCAATTCATATGTATAGGAATATTAACAATTTCATGTTCTTCTTCAGACCAACGATAAAGAAAAAACATAATTCAAAAGCGATAACTCCTAATCAGTAAGATGGCCAGTATCCATCCAAGTCCATGCATTTCGCCATTTCCACATTTCCAACATGCATCCTCAAGCGACACCGTAGGAGGAGGAGGAGGCGGATGGACCAATGCACCACCAAGGTTGAGATTGAGCCCTGAGACAGGCATGTGGTTGTAGCTCATCAGCTGCTGATGAGCCGCATCCATGGTGCTGCTTGTGGAGCCACGAAAGACTCTAGTGAGTTCGGCTAGATGAACTGCGTTAGCCAGCCATGAGGGTTTGGTTGATATTGAGGTTGGTGTGTGGTTGTAGATGTGGTGGGAGTTGAAGGAGGTCCGGTGATGAGTAATTAGTGTTATTCTTGTTGGTTGATAGTATTGAGGCTCTTGTGTGGTTTTGGTGATGATGACTTGTGCTGTTGCTACTACTATTGCTTGTGTTACTATATATGTACGTGTGTTTGGCGCTTACTCTTTAGATCTAAAGAAACTTTGATTGGTCTCAGCATTGTTTTTATCTTGCAAATATCAACAAAGAACACAAAATTCCTGCTGGAAAAGACAGTTTATAGATTGTGACTTTATGTTGTAGCTTCTCGATTATTGATAGGTGGGGGTGGTGGATAGATTGTGCAACTTGATATCTTTGTAGGCTTCCCTTGTTTCTTGTTGGCTCATTTTTTTTGCCATTGCTTTCTCTCGAGCCTGTTTCGCCTCTTCCAAATGTATAATAATTATATAAGATGTTAGCACGCTACTACTTGATCGTTACTAGCATCTATCTATTTGAATGAAGAACTAATGTACCTCTTCTTGGCTTTGTGATATTGTGTTCTTTGACAAACGGAAAATATGTGAAGGTATATATCATGTAATCAATTTTTAAGGTAAATTTTTTGATAATCATTTAGAATAATTAAGAGGAAAATTATATTTTAGATTTAACAGTATTAGTTTAATCACCATATTTAATAGGGTTCAATTGATTTTATAATGTCAAGGGACAAAGCCATGTGATAAATTTTGGATAATGGGTTTTAAATTTGGGAGACATCACAAAAAAGCCCAAAATACGGCCTTGAAAAATGGCGCCACTGACGAGAGATATCAACAACACACGTGATGATCACGTGATATATATCACACTTCACATCACTCCGTTAGCAAAGAGGAAAAAAAAATATATATCTCTTCTTCACTGATTTCGTCATCCACTGGTGTGGAGAATCTTTGATGACGACTCTTATTAGCTCGTTTCCTTCACTGTGTTCTCCCATCAAGCTTCTCCGATCACCTTCTTCCGAATCTCCAATCGTCACCGCTTTACTCCTTAACAGGTCAAAGGCGTCTCAGAATTTCAATCTCCAATTCCGAATGGAGGCGGTTTCGAGTGCTTCTGCTACTTCAAGCATCAGCGTCGGTGAAGACTTTCCACTAGACTACGAGCAGTGGCTACCGGTTCCGGATCCGGATAACAGGAGAAGAGCCGGCGTTTTACTCCACCCGACGTCGTTTCGAAGTCCTCACGGCATTGGTGATCTCGGAGAAGAGGCGTTCCGTTTCATCGATTGGCTTCATTCCACTGGCTGCTCCCTTTGGCAAGTGAGTTGAATTAATCACAGATTGAGCTTCGAATCATTAATCTGTAACCGTTGATTTTTTGAATTTGTTTTTGGATGAGTAGGTGCTTCCTCTTGTTCCTCCAGATGAAGGAGGCTCTCCTTATGCTGGACAGGTTTGTTTTCTTATTATTAAAATTAATTATTTTTTTGTTTAACTGAATGAAAGTCCCACTTGGTAGTTAGAGAAATAACTAACTAATGGCCAAATCCTATTTAACAGTTTCCATTGGATTTTGAGTGTTGAGTTATTATTTATTGCTTGTTTGTGATGGCTACTTGTAGGATGCAAATTGTGGGAATACATTGTTGATTTCTCTGGATGAGCTTGTCAAGGATGGGTTGTTAATGAAGGATGAGCTCCCACTACCAATGTACTAATCTTTTTAAGTGGATTCTTTTGTTTTTTGTATTGTCTCTTATTCTCAGCTCTTATGTCTTATCTTAGTGAGGCTGATTCTGTGAACTATCAAACTGCGAAAAAGTTGAAGAGTCCCTTGATAACTAAGGTACACATTATCTGGCTTGCAAACCATCTCACTCCTCCTATATAGATCTGCTAATGTTCAATATTATGTTTTTTTTTTTTTAATTTGGAGTTAACGTATGAGGACAATGCGTTGTAGTTTAGTTCACACTAATTCAGTAAATTACTTTAATTTTAAACTAAGCTTTTTAGCATTATCTCTCTATGTACCTTTTCAGTGTTTTTGGTGAATACTTCATCATTGATTATATAGCCTCTGATTTCTCTTGAGAAGTTAAGGTTGGTCACTGACCTTTTCTCAGGCAGCAAAGAGGCTTATTGGCGACAGTGGTGAACTGAAGAGCAAACTGCAAGAATTCCGTACTGACCCCTCTATATCATGTGAGAGATATACAATTTTTATGATTCGTTTGGCTAATCTGAATACCAATTTCTCACTGAGGATGTTATGTTCACTATGCATAGGTTGGCTTGAAGATGCAGCTTATTTTGCAGCTATAGACAATACTTTAAACTCATACAGTTGGTGCGAGTGGCCTGAACCACTTAAGAACCGTCATCTTTCAGCCATGGAAGCTATATACGAAAGTCAAAAGGAATTTGTAAGAGTTTTTTGTGGCTTTTGCTAACTCCCTTGGATTTTATTTTATCATGAATTAATGTTCTCTGAAAGTCTTTGAGATCGATAACCTCTTCTTCTTTGCTGCAGATAGACTTGTTCATTGCTAAACAGTTTCTGTTCCAAAGGCAATGGCAGAAAGTTCGTGAGTATGCACGGAGTAAAGGAGTCAGTATAATGGGGGATATGCCCATTTATGTAGGATATCACAGTGCAGATGTTTGGGCAAATAAGAAACATTTCTTACTGGTAAGTAAAAGGTTTAAATATGAAGGCAAAAAATGTTGTTGCATGTAAAAGCAGAGTAATATAGACTTTCCTGAAGGTCGCTTTTTTAAAATCTTTGACAGAACAGGAAAGGCTTTCCGCTTCTAGTTAGTGGTGTTCCGCCTGATCTATTCAGTGAAACTGGTCAACTGTGGGGAAGGTTTTGATTACTACTCACTCTCGTACTTCAGATTATTGATTTAATGTTTAGTTAGTTCTTTTCACTAGAATAACTATGTTCAAGGCCTATGTTTCTTAATCATTTCTCGATGGACAATACTGTATAATAGTGTCACTGTAACATAAGTTGTTGGCTTTTCCTAGACCATTTGTTGTACTTCAGAATCTTGCCATTTGTTACCCTTCATTCTGGTTTATTTTCTTACTCACCATGGTTATTTATTGACATTTTTCATTCGTTGTTTTGAAGTCCTCTTTATGACTGGAAGGCGATGGAGAGTGAGCAATTTTCTTGGTGGGTTCATCGGATAAGACGTGCACAAGACTTGTATGATGAATGCAGGATCGACCATTTCAGAGGATTTGCAGGGTTTTGGGCAGTTTCTTCTGGTGAGTTATCTTCAAACTAGAAAAAGAGAGTGACTGATCATACTTTCTGAGTACATATTGTGTTGATAATTTCACTGGTGTGATACTCTGCAGAAGCTAAGGTTGCCACAGTTGGAAAATGGAAGGTGCTTTGCTTAACTAACTAATGTAACCATAATCAGGTAAAAGAAATGATGAATTACAAGAAGTTGTATTAATGTAGGTAGGACCTGGAAAGTCATTATTTGACGCCATTTCAAGCGGCGTTGGGAATATCAAAATCATAGCTGAAGATTTGGTAAGCTCATTTGACTCCGTTACAGAAACATTTAGTAGTTACATAAAGTTGACTTACCAGACATGTACTTCTCGCTTGAAATGAACCTGCTCTTGCTGGTAATTCATACTCAGTTTATGCACATTGAAAAAAATTTAGCATGTGATCGTTTGCTAATGGAGACTACATTTTGTCATAAGACAGGGAGTGATTACTAAAGATGTAGTTGAGCTGAGGAAATCAATCGGAGCACCTGGAATGGCGGTCCTTCAGTTTGGTAAAAGTTGCTTGCTTCCTCATATGTTCTTCATTGTCTTTTAACATCTCTCAGCCTACTTTTATATATCTATTATCAGCTTTTGGAGGAGGTGCGGATAACCCACATCTACCTCATAATCATGAAGTGAACCAAGTTGTATACTCTGGAACTCATGACAACGACACTGTAAGTTGTGTCTCAGCTTTGAATGATTTTACTGAAATCCGGAAGAAATGTATATATCTCGTTGATTTTTTCGTGTTATATAGATTCGAGGGTGGTGGGACAACCTAAACCAAGAAGAAAAGTCTAAGGTCATTTCGCTCATTATTTTACACCATAAAACAGATTGTTTTGTTTGTTTTTATTTTTCCAGTTTATGATTGTATGATAATCACAATAGCGATTTTTTTTCACGTTACAGGCAATGAAGTACCTGTCAATAAGTGAAGAAGACGATATATCATGGTCACTTATCAAAGCTGCCTTCTCTTCAGTAGCTCAAACTGCAATCATACCGATGCAAGACATTCTCGGACTTGGAAGTTCTGCCAGGATGAACACTCCAGCCACTGAGGTTAGTCAGTTGCTTTTTTTTTTTTCATCTAATAAAAGCTGTAATGAACATTTTGAAAAGGTAAGACACGTATGCTCTTTATCAAGGGTCCAATCTGTTTTGTAATAACAATGTGGTTTTGGTTTTGTACATGTGAAAGGTTGGGAACTGGGGTTGGAGGATTCCGAGTTCAACGAACTTTGATCATCTTCAAATGGAATCTGACAGACTCAGAGGTCTATTGTCATTGTACGGTCGTCTTTGAGACAATCCTCGTTTTTAAAAATTATTATATGATAAAATGCCTAATAAAGAAAATGATGCTTATATGCTCTGTTGTGAATGTTAAACCTGTGATATGACTGTATGATTCGCACTTTAATCCTCACCTTTCCTTGCTAATCTTTGTTCATTTATCAAATACTTGACAGTATAGAGCTTTGCTAATGCATATAATTTAACTTTTCAAACACAAAGATGGCATGGTCTCTAAATCTTCGTAAACCTGAGCTAATGTTGGTCTTGTTTCTAAAGCCTTGTATTCCAACTTTGATGACCTGAAGCAGTAACAAAACGAGAGGTTTAGATCGACGGCTTATGTGGAATCTATAACAGGGATTGGTTTTAGAACAAAAACAAAAAAAATAATGTTGACAGTGGGATTTGAACCCACGCCCTTTCGGACCAGAACCTTAATCTGGCGCCTTAGACCAACTCGGCCATATCAACTTCGTTGTTCAGTAGACGTGACGTAAATAGATGGATATTGCTTATTTGGTCAGATGCAACTATAATCTAGAATCACAAGAGTTGATAACAAACTCCAAATTCTGTAAGTATCCAGTTTTGTCGTTAAGATAGCTAGGGAGTTTAAGATTTGACCATGATGATTGAAAAAGATCAGTAACGTATGTGTTTCATTGTTAAATGGCAAACACAACATTATTTTTGTAATCTAAATGCATTGTAGTAATGTATCACATCTCTGCTATGCATTACACAATATAGAAACTTCACCAATCTCTAAAATCAAACCACAAAAGAAAACTAACTAAACTTCACATTTACCAAAACATCACATTGTTAAACAGTGTAAGATATAACAGTAAACAGCAGACAAACTTGATTAATGCTCTGCTTCCTCAGTAATAAGTTGCCACACTGCCATATCTCACTTCTGTCTTCAGATCAACATTACTATCATTATTAAATAATTGAAAAAGCTGAAGAAGATTCATCTCTTCATCAATCTCTATGATATAGACACCTTCAAGCTTTAACACAGCAGTTGAAGCAGCTGAAGATTCTTCTCCTTGCCTGTTCCAATTCATATATACTTACACGTAAGATTAAGAATGTATTATCTAACTCAATTTTTATACTTTTGATGTGACTCTTTAACTATATGCACTCAACCTTACCCAATCCAACCCCAAATTTAATAATATAAAGTCAAAATCTAATTTATGAAGTTTGGTGGGGGGTATTAATATCATGCTTAGACTTAAATAGCATAGGCAATTAAATAGACCAAACACTGAACTTGGACCACATGTACCCAATTGCTAGAAACAGTCATATAATGCTTACAAAGTTAGATTCCATAACCTAACCTATCCACAAGAAGATAAGGCCCACATCATCAAATGAACACACTCAACTAGAAGCCACAAACACAACCATCCATTTCATATAAACACAACTAAGTCAGAACCTGCAAAACAAGCTGAAGTTTTGAAAAAAGGTAAACTACAACAAACAATCTGTGACCCAAAATCTAACCATAAGAAGCTACAATATTAGATTCCACAACCTAACTAAACTAAAGTCACATACCAAACCCGTTTTAAAACAAATCAATCATCCAGATCATATACATGCAATTCAATAGAATCTTAAAAAAGGAAAAACCTATGGTGAGTATGAGCACATGGTCAGCTAACTAAAACAAAGAATAAGTAACCAACAGATCTAACACATAAGCAAGATAGATATAGTGCTACAAACTTAGATTCTATAACCTATCAATGGTAACAAAGGTAATCCATAACACACAATCAATCATTCAACTCAGATAAACCCACAATGCCAAAAAGAAAATTTAAGATACCAATAAAAACTGCAAAATAAAAGTAATCTTACAGAGGGAGGATGTGAATGGTGGTGAGAGAACTCATTGTTGTTGTTGTTGTTGTTGTCACTGTGAACAGTGGTGAGCTTAGGCTTAGTGTTATCAACAGAAGCAGGTTGATTATGAAAAGGGTTGATGAGTTCTTCCTCGTTGCCAAGACTAGCACGAGAAGGATCTCTCTTGTTCTGTTTCCTCATCTCTCTGATCTTAGAGAAATCCATAGAGTAATCAGGAATGCTTCCTCCTTTCTGATCCCAATCTCCAAACTGTGGTACTGACATCCATGGCGAGTTCTTGTTCTGTCAACAACAACAAAAAATCTCCATATTCATATAAACAAAAAAAAAACAGAACACCTATAAAATCGATTAAAGTTCTGATTTTTAAGACACGAGTCAAAGCAAGAACTAAAGAGAAGATGTGGGTTTGAGAGAATCAGACCTCCTTTGGATCTTCCATGTGATGATCAAAAGCTGTAGAGAGTAAAGAATCCTCCTTTTTTAAATAACTTTTTCAATCAAAAGAAGAAGATGATCTTGTAGCGATGCAGAGGAATGAATATATATAAGATTTTAATACAGCAAAGTCACAGCTCGATTGGGTGGTGCTGGTATGATTACACTGACTGTACACGACGACATTTCAAAGATTTTATTTTTATTTTAATTATTCCGAGAAAGGAAAGTTTCTTTGTCAAAGAATTACGATTATGTCATTCGTTCGGACACGCAACACGTTATGTCCGCGTCAATTTTGTATTTTTCTTCTTAATGGGCTTTTTTAACAACAAAATGGGCTTTCTTTTGTGGACTTTTTTTTACTGGGTCTATATAAATAAGTTTACTTTAGTAGATTTGAAGGCTACCAAGTTTTGCCCGTAATGTTACTAAACTTCACAAAATACAGATTCAAATTCCATTTCAATTTCCAAAAGAACCAATCGTAGCTTACAGACACAGGCTTAAAAAGAATATACATAAAAAAACCAGTCAAAGAATTAGTTTGTTATAAGAACAAATCCAAAGAGGGTTTGGTTACACACATATTCACTTTACCAACTACAACCACAAAGAAAGAAAGAAGAAAACCAAATGGAACAATAACAAAAGAATAACAGATCCAAAAACAACATACTGTAGTTTTCTTGCAATGAGAAGACTTTTCAAACATTAATATCCATTCGTTTAGATCTACTACTACCATGGTTGCTTGTGTCTTGTACACTAGAAAGAGAGAATCTCGGTATAGCGTAGTTATCAGGTGTATACACTGGCTGCTGCTGTGGATAGAGTGTAGCCGGCGGTGAAGTTAAGTTCCTTTGTGCTGGAAGTGGCGGTATCGTGTTGTTGTACTTATAAGGATCTCCATGAAAACTGTAAAACAATAATCAAACAATAAAAGACCAAAACCAAGTTACAAAAAAATATCTTTGCTATTATTAGCGTTGTTGTTGTTACCTTGTTCTGTTGTAAAATTGATCTTCATCACTTGTGATCTCATCTAACCGTTGGGATGATGAGGGTGGGATAGACCACGGTGAAGCTGCTGCTGGTTGTTCATCTGAGAAATATCTTCTTCTTATCAACTGTAAAGAAAATGGTTTTCATCAGTTCTAGAGAAGGATCGTTTGGAGATGTTTAATGATACTAACCATCCGGAAAAACTTGTTCAAAGCTTCCTTATCATATCTAGTTTCCTTAGCAGCCTGTGGGAAGAAACTAGTAGTGATTAGTCTACATGGCTACTTACTAAAAACTATATTAAAACAGAAACTTAGTGATAAGTACTTACAGCTATGAGACCGGCATTACCAGGGAAGCTTTCAAAGAGAGGAAGATCTTCGCTTGAGGAAAGCAAACCTTGCTTTTCAACCCAATGACGAGCTGCATCAACAAGGTTTCCACTGCTTCCTTTTGTTCCTTCTTTTGCAGCAATATCCGCTTTGTTTCCAACAACAATGTACGGAACAGGAAGACCACCAGGACCTCCTCCTGAGGAAAGAGGAGCTGAGAAAGTTCCAGTAGCTGCAACCTCAGAAGCCCATTTCTGCAAGCTTGTTTTTGTTCTTCTCTGAGAGAGATCATGAACAAATATAACTCCTGCAAATAGATAAAATTATCGCTTTATAACCTTGTTTCAACCAGAATAAGGATGAACATACAAAAGTTAGGAGAGAGACCATTGATTTGGGAATAGAAGAGAGAGCGGCAATCTTTGTATCTCTCATGACCTGATACATCCCAGAGCTCAACAAAGAAATCTCTCTCTGAGTCTCCTTGAATGCTACTTGAAGAACTACCTGGACTCCCGTACGTTATGTGCTAAGAAAAAGGAGAAAAAAAAAGGTTTCAGCTTCACTGACTAATGTTGAGAACATTTGAGATGGTTTTTAATTACCTTGACACCAACTGTGCATCCAATAGTTTGAGATGGGCGTTGAATAGAACAGCCTTTGTTAATAAGGTGTACAAGTGATGTTTTCCCCACACCTAACCAAAAAGATCAAAGGATGTACATTAACTCAAGGATGCAGAGGATGAATATTTCACACTTTGGGAGCACAAAACAAACACAGTACGTAAAAAGACTCTAAGAAAACAGTGTTGACTTTAAGATACTATCATAAACTCATGTCATAAACAACTGATATAGCTCAACGACCACACAACTCAATGCAATGGATCTATCTTCTTGAGTAATAAATGATCAGAGGTAATAACGTAAGGATGCAGAGGATGAATATTTTCAAACTTTGGGAGCAAAAGCAAACACAGTAAGCAACAGACCCTGAGGAAAACAATGTTTGACTTTAAGATACTAAATAAACTCTCAGGTCTTATATAAATGATATATAGCTCAACGACCAAACAACTCAATGCAATGGATCTATCTTCCTTAGTCACACATGATCATCTACAGCACAAGTATCATCATCAGTCTTAACATTCTACAAAACCTAATTCAACAAAACTAGAGAAGTATGGTAACACACTTAGAATTTTAAAATGACTAACTTGGTTTAGGTTCCATATAACTAAGCTAACAAATCCTACCTGAATCACCAACCACCAAGACTCGAACTTGGCCACACAATGGAGCTAAGATTTGCTCTTTACTTTCCCTTTCACGTTCCCTCCAAAACCTCATCTTTTCAACCAAACAAAACTAACACCTTTCAATCAAGTTCCTTCGGTTCCAATCAAAACCCAGAAGAAGAAACTTCCATAAACACTCATATCAACCTCTCAACCCTAAAAAGGAAAGACCTTTATCATCCAATCACCACCGAACAGAGACTAATCAAAATCAACGCAGCTTCTTCTACGGAATCAATACTCAAAATCGATCTAGATAAGCAGCAGCGAATCTGGATCGAGATCAGAGAACCTCCTTACGACGAGTAAGAAGAAGAAGAAATGAAACGACTTTCCCCTTCCTGCGTAAGTTGTGAACAAAGGTAGACGATGAGATCGGTCCGGTTTACTTTTTACCCAATCAAAAAATCGATTAAACCAAATCCGTTATAAACCGGTTATGTTAACCGGAGTAATTGACCTCGCTGGCGCGCGTAAAATTTAATAACCGTACGATTATGTACAACGCTGCGTATTGACAACTATTGTATACATTGATAAATAATTAACTTTTTTTTTTTTGTAAACTAGATAAATAATTAACTTCTGTTTATATACGTACCTATAAAAATTACACGAGGCATTATATATATATATATTGAGATTTTACAATGATCGATTCGATGCTATAGGTTTCTGATAATCTCAAGATGGAGGAGATATATGGATAGATTGAAGAAGAGAGTGTTGGTTCCAATTATTATCATGATCGTAATTAGACGAAACCATGTCATTGTAATAGACATGTGAGGGGATCTCATGGTTATGGACTCCTTCATAGGTTGTAATCACGTACGCTGCATCTTTACCATCTCTTTGTACTCGCTTCTTCACTGTGCACCCTTCACTTGAACATTTGTAGTAATTCCTATATACATAAATTCACATTCATTCACCGTTTATTAGTTTTAATTATTTTATTAATTCTACCACAAGTAAACTATATATATTATCCAAGAGTCATGATTCAGAGTGCAGATACTAAGAGCATAATTAATGGAGGGTTCTTATGGTGGAGTTCTTTGCGAAATATAAGAAACCGTCTCATAACTTTTAATTAAAAAAAACTAAAAATCAACTTTTAAATAAGACATTTAATAATCGGTTCTTAATTTTTTTTATTAAAAATAAAGAAACGATTTCTTATATTCCGCTAAAAATCTCATCCTAAGAACCTCCTATTGATCATGTTCTTATCTTCACATATGTCACGCATATATGAGTCAAAATAAGATCTATGTGATGAATGATTCATATGGGTCTGTCTATATATAAACAAAAACATACACAATGATGCGTATGGGATGGGTTGGTAGATAAGACGGGACCATTGAACAGTATTTAAGTCACTATATATATGATCTAGTTAATTAGTGGTCATTCTATATATAACATTAGATTTACTAGATGATGATAGAAAATGCTCAAGCAACCACCCATATGTTAATTTCTAAAAACAACTAATTAAAGTATTATAAATCAACAAACTAAATGAGATGAGAAATTGACTACCTCTTGTTAGTGTTGTTCTTGACAGATTTCTTCCCATACTTCCTCCATTTATAACCATCATCCATCACATCAATCTTTGATCTCGTTCTAAATGCAACCCGATGACCCGGATCTTTCTCACCATCTTTACTTCCCCTATTTTTGCAATCAAAACTATTAATTAAAATAAATCATTATATAATAATATACTACAAATTAATAATGCCTAAGAATCTAGCTAACATATAAAACTAAAACTCACGTTGATTCCTTTTTACTCAACGTCGTTATTGCTCTGCCCGATCCACTGCTTTCACCGGTAAGTGTCTCCGACGAAACGATGCTTGTCGGAGGTGAAGTTTCCTCCTGGACTAATCCAGTGTTACCTCCTTCATCAACTTCAAACATCAAACTGGAGAAATCGAAATTATCCATAAAAGGACTAATAAAATTATCATCGGATAAGAAGGTGAAATTAGGGTTAGGGTTTTCAGGGAAATTCATTTTTTTTTGTTTACAAAAGAGAAAAACAAGAGGGAGAGAGATCTTAAAGCATCTAAAGAACTAGAGCAAATGAAGAAGGGCAGACAAAGAGATAATGTGTCTTTCACCGATAAAACTTATAAATATATTACTAATAAGTTTTTATCTTTATGTTGTAAAGAAAGATAATTAAGAGATAAGATTAATAAACATTTACTATAGATATAACAAGCAATTTCAGCGTGGTTACTAGGAAGATGCTTCAACACCACGTGTGAAAGAAGAGGAAGATATGACGTCATTCTAATGACGTATGGACGGACTGCAGGGTGGTGGAAAGTGAGCTTCCATTTAAAGTAATGAGTTTTGGATATAGAGCTTATGGTCCATGTACGAGCTTAAGGTCCACCACGTACGTCATAGTAAGTGTTCGGTAACGTGGATATTTGGATGAGTAAGGATGCAAGTTGCATGTTGCATGTTGCATGTTTGACTGATTGGATTCTGAAAATCCACTTTTTTTTAGAGATACTGTGATAAACTTAAGTTTGAGTGTTTCGCCTAACTTTGGTTTAAAGAGATTCAAAAACAAATTATATATTGGGTACCCGGTCTGATATATTTATGCAAATGTAAAAAAAAAAGAAACCTATAGTTGACTAATCAGATTGTACCATATAACTAGTCCTGTAAATCAATACTAGGATAAGACCTGCGCCTTGCGCAGGGTGAATATATGTAATTAAAATATAAAATTTTAATATTCACAAATTTAAAATTTACATATGATTGTTTTTGTATGTATTTGAAATTTTAGAATTTTGGAATTTTTATATAATTATCTATACGTATGATCAAAACCAACTTTAATTAGAAATGTAAATCAAATCTTAGAATTTAATGGATCTAATTTCATATATCTTTTTATTTTTCAGTGTTCGAGTGATGGAAAATAAATGGAGTGTCACTGGGCTTGATTGGTAGAGTGTAGCAAGTTCCCTAATGTTTTTAAAGAAGCAATTGGTAAAATATTTGCAATTAAAATATATAAAGTTTCTAAACTAATTTAATATAATTTATTTATTTGTCTAATAATATTAGAAAATTATATTTTAAAAAATTATATTTTTTAAAAATAATTTTCTAAAAAATTATGTTAAATTTAAAATTATTTTTAAAAGCAATATTTTAAGTTTTTCGAATACAAATAAACAATTTAAAATTAATTATTGTCATGATTTAACATAGCCATAATGATTTAAAAAATTAAAAAAATTAAAAGTTAACAAATTAAAAATTAACTCAGTTTNACTTTATGCACAATAAGTATTTTATATTTATTATTTATTTTATATTTTTCTGCATATTATAAATAATAAAATAATAAATATATATATATTAAATAACTAAGAAATCAATTACTATTATGTAACAAATTGGCGTATGCATATAAATTTAACTATTACTCTTGTTTATTCACAATTAGGGTAAATAAATCAAAATAATCAAGCTTATATATTGTATATGATATTCTTGTTGGAAAAAAATAAAAAAAAAAAGAGAAAAAAAAATATTGTATATGATATATAACTAAATTTAAATGATATAAACATAGTAATATAGCACACTTTTAATATGGATATTTATTAAATGAGGTTTCTACTCATATGATTTTATGATTATTTGCATATTTGTGTAACAAAACTTTACACCAATGATTTATAAATTACCTTATGATTATTTGAATTTAAGTATTTTCCATTTTACATATACACTTCCATAAATTAAAAGGAATGAAGTTATTATAGTTAATATATGCAAATCGTTATCAAATCGTATATTTTCCTTTTCTTCCATTACATACGTGCGATATATATAAATATATAAACTATGTTACATGCGTTATATGCGTCTCTAATTATTTTTCCCTAGCAAATTTCAATTGAACCTAAAGCCGCCACGTCAGTTTAATTGATATGCTAATTGATTGACAACTAAGCAAGGTTACTTTTTAATTAATACAAACTTGAGGTTACATCTTTTCAAATGTTTCTCAATTAATNATATATAAATATATAAACTATGTTACATGCGTTATATGCGTCTCTAATTATTTTTCCCTAGCAAATTTCAATTGAACCTAAAGCCGCCACGTCAGTTTAATTGATATGCTAATTGATTGACAACTAAGCAAGGTTACTTTTTAATTAATACAAACTTGAGGTTACATCTTTTCAAATGTTTCTCAATTAATATATAGGGCATGTTTCAAAAAAAAATTAAACTTAGAATTCAAACATACTCCAATTTTGATAGGAAACGTGTTTCTTGTGGTCGACAAAAGATTATATATGTTATTTTTTATTCGATGTGCCTTCTTACAAAGTTATAGCTCATAGCTAAGGAAGGTATCAAGAATATATTATTACACTCACTGACCCACAATGACCAACATTTCACAAAGTATATTTTTAAGTCCACAATTAAAAAAGTGGTCTTTATATCTTGTCTAGAAGGTAAAGATGAAATTTCCTGGTGCCACTATTAATGTTTTTTTTGTAACCAAAAATATAGTAATTGCTATTTATTGTGTTAAAACAAAAATATTGACAGAAACATGTGATGTGGCTTTAATTAAAAAAAACATGTGACGTGGCTTTGTTTTAAGAAAATACATATGATGTAATCGTATAAAGATTACATGCAAATAGTTAAGAATACTGAAATTAGATTGTAATAGTGTTTTCTTTAACCCTGAAATATGATGGTCTTTAGAAACTAGTAGAGCAAGAAAAACCTAATATTATTGTCAACGGAAAGACTGAAACAGGCGGGCGGCTGGTCAAGGGTGAATGAATGTGCCAGTGTGAGGTTCAAATTTAGAGAAACCATTTTGTGCGGGATAAATCCAAATAAATGAAATTAATCTTTTTATGTATTGCTTTGAAAGTGATGGAGATATGTTCATGAACGCCTACCGGTATCAGAAAAAATAAATGCATCTTTCTTTATGCTAGAAAATGTATATTTTATTATAATAGTGACACTTATATTCATTGAAATCTAATTTGAAAGCACTGCGGTGAGCACTGGAGAACATGCTTCAACATTCGTCATGTCAGAGATTTAGGACGGATTACAAGGAGATGATAGCGACGCTTAGGAATCCTCAAGACTGGCCAAATTTCTCAACGGAATTGGAAAAGCTCTCGATGCTGCGGATCTGCTTTCCCGATTGCAAGATTTCCTATGTTCCCAGGATACAAAATGTTGTTGCTGATTCTTTTATAATTTATTTTGAAATATGTGGGTTAACCACTATGAAAAAACGGAATTTTCCGATAAATAGTATATATTTTATTTAGCATCTTCTGCGTTGTTTAAAAAAACCAAACCACACTTCAAATATATATATATATTTTCTAAACTTATATTCATGGTATATGGGCAGAATTTATAAATTTCCAATTATTAATTTATTTAACATTCACATACCACTTAATATGTGGATTGATCCCTATAAAAATCATATTTTCTGGAGAAACGGAAACATTTAAGGTCTCAAACCTATTTAATTTTCATACTATGTCGGTGTATGATGCAGCTATGCATTAAAACAAAAATTCTATTTTTTATATTTTTTCTTGAAATATGTGGGTTAACCCCTACGAAAAAACTGAATTTTTTGATAAATACTATTTAGCATCTTACCTGTTGTTTAAAAATACCTAACCACACTCCAAATTTATATATATGTTTTCTAAACTTATATTCATGGTACCTGGGCATATTTCTAATTTTCCTATGATTAAATTTTATGAAATTCATATAGCACCTAATATGTGGATTGACCCCTATAAAAACTCTATTTTCTGAAGAAACAGAAACATTTGAGGTCTCAAACCTATTTAACCTTCATAATATATAGGTGTATGATGCAGCTATGCATTAAAACAAAAATACCATATTTTGAAATATGTGAGTTAACCACTATGAAAAAACGGAATTTTCCGATAAATAGTATATATTTTATTTAGCATCTTCTGCGTTGTTTAAAAAAACCAAACCACACTTCAAATATATATATATATATATATATATATATATATATTTTCAAAAATTATATTCATGGTACATGGGCAGAATTTATAAATTTCCAATTATTAATTTATTTAATATTCACATACCACTTAATATGTGGATTGACCTCTATGAAAATCTTATTTTCTGGAGCAACGGAAACATTTAAGGTCTCAAACCTATTTAATTTTCATACTATGTCGGTGTATGATGAAGCTATGCATTAAAACAAAAATTCTATTCTTCATAATTTTTCTTGAAATATGTGGGTTAACCCCTACGAAAAAACTGAATTTTCCGATAAATACTATTTAGCATCATCTTACGTGTTGTTTAAAAATACCTAACCACACTCCAAATTTATATATATGTTTTCTAAACTTATATTCATGGTACATGGGCATATTTCTAATTTCCTATGATTAAATTTTATGAAATTCATATAGCACCTAATATGTGGATTAACCCCTATAAAAACTCTATTTTCTGAAGAAACGGAAACATTTAAGGTCTCAAACCTATTTAATCTTCATAATATGTCGGTGTAAAATGCAGCTATGCATTAAAACAAAAATACCATATTTTATAATTTATTTTGAAATATGTGGGTTAACCACTTTGAAAAAATGGAATTTTCCGATAAATAGTATATATTTTATTTACAATCTTCTGCATTGTTTAGAAAGACCAAACCACACTTCAAACTTATAAATATATTTTCTAAACTTATATTCTTGGTACATGGGCAGAGTTTATAAATTTCCAATTATTAATTTATTTAACATTCACATACCACTTAATATGTGGATTGATGCCTATAAAAATCCTATTTTCTGAAGAAACGGAAACATTTAAGGTCTCAAACCTATTTAATTTTCATACTATGTCGGTGTATGATGCAGCTATGCATTAAAACAAAAATTCCATTTTTCATATTTTTTCTTGAAATATGTGGGTTAACCCCTACAAAAAACTGAATTTTCCGATAAATACTATTTAGCATCTTACGTATTGTTTAAAAATACGTAACCACAG